TGAATGATTAATATTTGTTACCATTATGACTAAAAATATACATCCTCATTAAATTTAGATCTTTAAAACTATTTTATTGTTTAATAATACTAAGCCTATAAGTAGAACTGAAGCAGAAAAACGGAATTAATACATGAATGCAGCACTGTAGGGAAAATTTGGTTCAAAATCCTAAGCAACGGAAAGAATTTTTTTTTTAGGGCAGTGCAAAAGTCAAGACTTTTATACTAAAGATTGTTTCCTGTGTGTGGATTTGATTTCAACGACTTCTCAAATGATGTTCATTAATTAATATAGCTAGTATAGTATTAGAATCTTTAATTGGCTCATCTGTAATTATGCTTGCTACATTCTACATTCTGTAACTTGTTTAACACCTATACCCAGACAAAAACTAGCAAAACCTTTCGGGATGCTGGGGTCTACCTAGAATAATAAAGAATAAACAGATAGATGCTAAACTTTTAGTTGCGCAGAGCCTCTTGGCTAAAGCTTTTTAGAAGTCAATCATATGAGCAGTGGTTTTATGCGTCGTATCTGTGCCAAATGTGCAAACATTGTGGCACAGGCTGTTTCGTTTCCGGAATCTTAAAACATTACAATCATTAAACTTTAAATAAAAATAAACGCATAATAATGACGTATGACAGAGTTTCCTGCCAGAAAGGATTTATAAAGCTAAGATGGAATTCTAAAAAACACTGATACTTACTAAGCTAGAAGAGTGAATTAATATTTTTGCTGCAGAATACTTAACAAAAATAACTTTTAGAATACGTTTTTGGTGCGGTCCTAAGAAAAACAAATAAATTCCATAAATTCCGATGTTTTCACGAGGTAATGAATATTTTCTAAATCAATATTAGCTGAAAAAAAGTTGTCCAAAATTAAATTGGCTTAGTTTGTAATATTTTCAAAGCTAGAGAAAGAAAGAATAAACAAATTTTTTGTAAGAGTTTGTATCTATAGTTGGGTAATGAGAATTCGTCTGACGGAAGTAAATGATCTGTTTTGAGATGCTAAACGCGTTTGAGTTGTTTGCATTTAAAACTAGTATAAAATTAGGCAACAAGGATTTTTTTCTTACAAGGTTACTTATGGGTGTGATAATATTGTTAGTGCATGGACAAAACCAAATAACATCAACAACAAATAACTCACATTTAACAGTTGTGTCAGATATATATCATTTCAAATAGTTTAACGGTTATTTTTAACTATTTCCAATATACCAAATCTGTTACCCTTGTTTATTACCCTATTCAAATGTTTTACCCCAACGAGCAAATCTGAACCAACTGAATTCATACCAGCAAGGTAAATTCGGTGTTATAGAAACCAAATTCAACGAAGAAACTAAATAAAAAAAACGTTATTAATACATTAATTGACATAATTGAAAACGTAAGTCAGTAATTGGAAAACTGTGAGATGCCTGCCAACATACGAAAATTGGACACCTTGTTTGAAATTATTGATAGTGAAATTAGTTTTGCTCAATGATTTAAAAAAGGCTGCGGCCAAATTACTCCGAAGAAATTTTCTAATTATAGGCCTCTAATATTAAGCCTCTTTCCAATATGCTGTTGTTATGAATTAGTTGAGATGATAGCGTTTCAGTTGGAGATCAATGCCTAATGCAAATGGAAAAAATTATACCAGTAACGCGCAAGAAATGCGATGAACATGATTTTTAAATATAAAAATATAAAAAAAAATTGCTGATGATAGTGGAAATAATATTTGTTAAAATGGTGACGGAAACAATTTTGCAGCAAGCATGCAATAGGTTTAAAATTAACTACTAATTGAATTAGAACAAAATGAACAACAATCAGTAATCTTATTATGCCATTCAGCCATATAATTGGATCACATCATAGGCACCTTTAATTACGACGAGTTTCATTAAAATTGGTTGTCAAGAACTTTTTATTTGTTGCTACTCTGGACAGTTTTTTTTTTCGAATTATTTCACCGTTGCTTCCCAAAATTCTCATATAGGATCGAGAAAAACCCTAAACTCACTAAAAATCTACGTGTTAGTAGTATAGATCTGGGTACGAAGTATTGCCAGAAACATTATAAAAAGAGCATTTTTTGTCTAGACATTGTTAGAAAAGTTATATAGCGAATAAATTAATGGCGACCGATATTTCAACCCTTGCATGGTCATACGAAATCATTTAATTTAAAAAGTTCACGTTCAGTAATTATTCCCAACGTAACGTGTGCAATATGAAAAGTTCCATTCTACTAGAATGCTCAATAGCAGCGTAGAGTTATTGCCGTCGTTTTGCAGGCATTCGAGCGACCCCAAATAAAAATTCAATAGCAATAATTGAACAATGTAACTGTGACCCAATTTTCAATCTCTCCGTTGTAATATTTTCGATTTTTCAATTTACAGGAAGTAACTGAAATGCAACACCACTGTTGTTACTTGCAAAAGGTCGCGCAGGGATATTCGGTGGCAAACATACGATTTCTGACAATTTATTGCCTCTTGCAAAGTACTCCTTTATTTCTCCGATTGATTCTGCTGTCATTTCTGCAAACATTACATATTTTGTAAAAATGTAAATAAAATAAAAATGTTCAAAAAAAGTATTTCTAAATATAGAGTAAAATGTTTCGGAATATGGCACCTTTATTAAGTCATTTTTCAACTTCCAGTTTCTCTAGAACAGGCCGCCAAACTTTTACAAACATATTTTTCTTAAATTTCACAGTAAGCAAAAAGGTACGCATATATTTTTTGGGTATTGGAGACATTCAAAAAGACCTGAAGTGTCTTTGTGCACTGCAAAACCACCATCATTGTTTGTCTCTAGAAGTTCACGACCGATAAGGAACAATTAAAATCTAAATTAACAAGAAAATCTTGAGATAAGCCCCATTTGTAGATAAAAAAAAATGCGACGTCACTGGCCTTAAACTTGGCAATGTCCCTACAATATTGTTTGCGATAATTTGCGACATAAATATTACTTAATTGCAAACAATCCAATGCAAAGGACTGCTTTGTCAATAATTAAAACGTTTATAAAAATTGCTACGTCTAAAGCGTAAGAATTTCTATCAAAGATTGGGTAAAAAAACCTATCACGCGTTTAAAATTGTGTGACCCATATTCGATTATCTGTACAAATTCGTCTATTCGTTTTATGGGGTCGTTGACCTTTTAAAACAAAAATAATAATATTTAAACAGAAGGTAAGAACGTTGCGGGATATCAACTTAATTTTATTTTTAAACGATGAACTGTTTGCTTCACCGGGCGCTGTTTATTGACAAAACATAAAATTCGTATAAATTAATCGCAATTTTTTTCGGCTTAAAACAAAGAGTTTTCACAAGTTTTTAAGTTTATGGGAATAAACTGGACTAGTTTAATGGGCACATAAAATAAAACTTCCTTGGGAAATTCCGAAGATGACAAGGTCACATAGTAAAGAGAATGATACATTTTCATGCATTAACTAGCCAAAAAAAACACGTTTTTGAATATTTTCATTGTTTCTAGAAGATTTTTTAGTTAGCTCAACGACAATTAAGAATTATTAAATAAAAAGAGATACACGAAGGTTTTATTATTTTTAGAAATACATAAACTTATTTGAACATTTCAATAAAATTCTGTCATAAAAATTGTCTAATAATTATTTACATAAGCTAAATTTATTTTAAAAATCAGTAGTGTAATTTGATACATTTGATACATTATTAAAGCCTGCAGAGCTTCTTTCGGATGAACAACTAAATTAATATAACAAATAAATAAATAAGTTACCGTAAAATATTGCGATTGTTTCTACACTTCGACTATGAATGTTTCTTAGCAGAAGATAAAAGATATGGTTGACGTCTCTATACATACAAAATATGCAAGAGCATTTCTGCTCGCCTAATATATTTTTTGTTTTGTACATGAATTACCTAAATATAAATTAAGTCCAAAAGTTATTACTTCTTTAGAACTATGTTCCTCAGGTTCTAACACTTCGTAATGAAAATACGGGTTCTTACGCATACTGATAATGAATATGTACATATACATAATGGTAATCGAGGAGATAATTATATTTTATTAATCAATGGGTTTAATTTATTTCGGGGCTACTCTATAGGTGCCAAAGTGCGACTTGATGGAGAATATGCCAGTTAATCGAAATTTTAAGCAATTCATAGAAGAAATTCTTAGACCTTTGTGCACCAGATACGAAACTTAATAAACCTCTCAAAATGAATTGCAAACTGATTTATTGCGGTAAGTATGCGGTGTTACTTCTTGAACATTAAAACCAAATATTTTGAAGGCAATGAATTTGCCATTGCCACAGGTTTAAAAAAGAAATATTGGAATAACGACATGCGTAAAAAATCAATTTCGCCTTTAAAATATTAGTGTGACAGCTTTTTCTGTATAAATATTGTCCTCTTCTAATCTAACCTATAAAGGTAAGTTTCAACTTGATTTATATCAGTAAGGGGGTCGAGTAATTGAAGTTAGGTGTTTTTTTTGTGGCTATAACCTTATTATTTGTTTATATGATATGTTAGGTATAGCAAGTCATTTTTAATTGGTAGCTAAACGAGAAAGTCTTTCATCGAAACGAAACTTTTCGAGGTCTTAGAGATCGCTTTATCGCACACCCGCCTTGCGTGTTTTTTAAATTTTCCAAGGGAAATGCGTCGATGGACTGGAAGAATACGTGGAAAAACAATCTTCCAAGGAGGCTGTGCATAATGATTGACATTTCGACGGCCAGTGCGCAATCGTAAGCACCGCCCACCATCACTGACCTACATTACTGAGGGTCGACGACCTTTCCCGAGAGTTAACACAATCGAATGAAAAACGACCAGCAAGGCAACGGCGACTAGCGACGTTCGCTAGCATTTTTCTCGGCTGCCATTTCCAGCGAATTTTATAATTCATGGCACTTTCACATTTTATTACGTAACACCCCGACTAATTAATCGCTACTCGTACTTACATTTTTTTTGGTGGGTCAAGGAACTCTAGCCGGAGCCCGTTAAATGTTGCGTTTCGCTGGCGCAGCACATCGGGGAGGTTATCTCTCAAAGCGGACCACACGGGGGCGCGAAATTTATTTATCAATTTTATTTTTCGGAAAATCACATCGGCAATTACACGGGCAATGTCGGGTATACCACGAAACAAACGGTTTGACGTCGATTAGTTTCGCTTTTCAAAGCACTCTTCACAGAAATTTCACTCTTACGGCGGCGCGCCACATTTTGTGTTTTTGTTTAGTTATTTATTTATTTTTTGCGCGTGGATTCGCGTACGTTTCGGGGACGCGACGACGGTTGCCGGAAAAGGGGGCCCTTCCGTGTCCAGTTCGGGTCGGATGGGGGCTCGAAAACTTCGAATAAGTACTGCGAAAAATAAGGACACCGCTTCAACGAGAGTTGCGAGTACGTAGCTGTGTTAGCCGGGACTGTGCGAGGTGAATGACCTGTAGCTTACGACATCGGTGGTGGGGGGTCGGAGCAACACTACGAGAAATTCGCTGCCGGCTGCCGGCGGCGCGGCGCGGCCCCCGTTCAAAACACTGCATCTCTCTAACGTTTCCGCTTTCATAATAGGTGGATTACCCCCGTGGTGGGCCGATTGATGGAAAGTCGTTCCAATGGGTACCGGGTGGGTCTGGTTTTCCACGTATTCCCGCAACTTCAACTCCGTGCCGTCATCCCGTCTTCACTTGTGATATTTTTCGAGTCGCAATGTTGAAACACTAATATTTTGCCATTTTCGTCAGATGGTTTGAAATGAGACAAAAGGTGTAAACTTAGCGGCCCTTCTTTTTCAGCAGCTAAATAATATATTACATATTAATTTATTATTACTTAACTTTAATAACAGGGTAATATATATATATATATATATATATATATATATATATATATATATATATATATATATATATATATATATATATATATATATATATATATATATATATGTATTAAAGAAAACATTATTATTATTAAGTTTTCACAGTGGCGAACCATTACAGATTATGACCTAAAACAGCAACTGCAAAGCAATGCGAACTGCATCGGCACTGAGGCATTGTAATGTATGAGTAAATTACTTAAGCACTTTTCGTCACTCTGATTTTCTTATACAGTGAACGGATAAAATATATAACAAATATCATTTAAAAATCACACATAATTTTCTTCTTGTCCATTTTTTGCAGTAAACAGAAAATATACGATTTTTTAAAATCCATTTGTGACTTCTGTGTCAAATTTTACGCATAATTCATGCGTACGCATTCATGAGCAAAATAATGAAAAACAGAAATGTAATTTTGAAATGAACAGGTAAGTAGAGCTAGTACCACTACTTAAATTGTCACAGTTACATTTCTGTCAGTAAAGAAAGTCCAAAGAATTGAAATTTTAATTTTCATTGATATAGAGACAAAACTAGAACACAAGCAGACGTTTGTAATTTGTTTAACCCGAATTATCCAGAAAGATCGTCTACAGCCAGGTCGCCCCAAAACCAATGACAACACAAGAGTTTACAACCTTTTATTAGGATAATTTCCATCGTGCATATTCTGAAGTGACTTCGAATTATGATGTTAGCTAACCTTTGCGCATATTAAAAGAATAAAGTATCATACGTAAGATTATGTTATTACAGGAGCTGAACAAAATGCTTCCGATCGCAGACTGCAGATTTGTGAAACTATTTTTTCGCCGTCAGATACTGTTTAGTGATGCGGTCACGTTTAAATGTTATGGTAAACAAATTGAAGTACATATAATCCACAAAAAAATAGTGTTTGTACCAGTGTGTCCAATAATAAAATTATTGGACCTCATTCCATCAAAATCTTACTGGAGCCCGATATATTACAATTTTTTCGAAATAACTTAATTCCTACGCAGTTTTTTTTCCGAAAATTGATTTCTACAAGATGGCGCTCCGCTACATTTTGTTTGACAAGTGCGTGACTATTTAAATTTACTATTTCCCGGACAGTGGATTGGTTGACGGGGATCAATAGAACCACCTGCAAGATCTCCAGATATTACTCTCCTGAATTTTTTCTCTGGGGATATTTAAAATCAAAAGTGTATAAAGAAAAACCACAAAACCTAGAATTAGGTACAAAATAAGGCAAATTAATGAAAATACCCTGAGTAATGTTAAGATCTCAATTTTACTCACTGTGGATTTTGTAATGGTTCTTTTTGGTTATTTTGCGTTAAACAAATTACAAACTTCTTGAGTTCTCGTTTTGTGTCCATATGCAAAATAAAAAAATCAAATTTCAATTCTCTGAGCTAGATGATCAGTATTCACTTTCTTTACTGGCACTAGCAGTTCATTTCGAAAATAAATTTCTGTTGTTTATTGTTTTGCTCATAAAAAGTAAGAGATAGGTATGGGGTATTCTATATTTGAATTATGCGTGAAACTCGGTATCGACATCTATTTCTTGACCCACAATCTATATTTTCTATTTAATTGAGAAATAACAGTGAAATCTCGGTGTCTATATCATCATATTTTGTGAGGGCTTTCGAGAGGGCAGTGTACTAAGGTATTTTTAATTAAGTTAAACATTTAATAGCAGAAATTTAGCTTGGTTTCTTTAACAAGCGCAGTAATTTGGCATGCTTCTCTTAATTTACTTCTCAAGCATTAAATATCCTACTTGATGCATTATACATTGACTTCTAGAAAGCTTTAAACAGAATTGACCATAATATTTTTCGTCAAGTCGTACTTGTCAGATTCAATTGAATACGTCGAGATGCGAGGACATAAGTCATTGTCACAAGTGGGGCTCCGCAGGGGAGTAAACTTGGTCGTATTTGGTTTGATTATTATCTAGTCAATATAACACTAACACGATGTGATGGCTCCAAAGATTTGGGAGTTTTATTTGATATTAAGCCCGGAATTCTCAACTCTGATTTAATGTTTCAGTTAGTGACGTTTTTTTTTTCAGGGCAACAGAGCGGACAATTTCGTTTTTTTTAAACTAAATACCGTACATTAATATTATTTAAAAGTAACTAGCCACAAAAATCTAGACAATGCAGCGTTTACTATTTATTCCAATTGGTCTATTTAGATTCCCAATGCAAAAGGACAGTACACTCTGCAAAAACAAGGTACCATGCTTCCCATTAAGGATATTTTAAACTAAAAGTATGCCACTCGGTATATAATTATTCATTTCCCTTGTGCAACTATTTGTTCACTATTTTTTCCTTTAGTAACAGCAAATTACTTTCTCTTAACTCTAGAAAAAGTAAGTTACACAAAAACACACACAACAAAAAAGTTTATTTTATTAGGCCTTCAAATGTATAAAAATAATATCATGTATTGTGGGATTTCAGTTAAAATTGTTATTCTTAAAATGACGACCAAGCCAAAGCGTTCACCATATTATGAGAATAACTAAAACCTAACCCTAAACTATTTTTAAAAGTACATACCTACCCTCTGGAAATCAACCGCAACACCTAATTGATTAATAATGGGCTCCGACACTTAAGGTTTAAATGTTCTTTGGGATGACATCGATGGTTGAAATTAAAGTTGGATATGTCCAACTAATATAAAAAATTACCATTTTATAAGCAACTTTTATGCGTTATACTAAAACATCAGAGGGTGTTCGAATTACTTACTAGTACAATATATATAATAAATTATAATAGTATTTAAATAATATTTATAAATCATTATGATCCAATCTGTTTTTATTCACATATTTTTATAAATACCAGTTGTAAAATTTCATTCTCATGTTATCGTCCTCTGGCATTAAAAAATGAATTTTCCTGGTGTCCTTTTCATTTTTCAAATTTGCCTGGTGTGGATCACATCATCTTCGAGTAGTATGCTCTTTTACCATGGAAGAAAGAGTGAATGGTACTTATTTTTCGCCTAAAGCAGCCAATCAAATTTAATGGAAATTTTTTATTGATCTAATACACATCTAAATAATCTTTTTTGTTCGGATAATAGCAACTTTCAGTTATGACTTTTTCGTTTTGAGTCTAAATCTATACCAAACCATAGTGATGGCGATTTCAGAATTGTATTTAAACTATTTTTTAAACTTTTATATGGTTATACAATATGCGATCAAGTATTTAACATTTTTGTAATTCAAGAAATAACTGCAAATATTCTCTATATGAATTTTTCCTAATACAACTTACTACGTTTCTTTACTACCTATAGATTTCTTTAGAGATATAAATTTTAAAAAATGGGTTTATATTGCTCATCCTATTGGCTTGCAATACTTTTTAAATCAGGTTAATCAATTAGCAGCACAGAAATTGGCATCAATTTTTTATTATATTACAAAACTGGCGATCGCTATACCTAGTTCATTGGGAACTTCAAAACTTTCATCTGCCAACTAATTTTTTCTAGAATTTTAGTTGGAATTTTGGCCGTGAACCGAGGTATCCAGGCCTGTTAATCTGTCAATCATGTACAAATGTACATACTGCTCCTTCTATTCTTTTTGGGTTTGTATCCCGATCTTGCCTTTTCCTGCTTAATAAAATTTTCACTATTTCACTGTTTGACGATAACGTCAATATTATTTCGGTACTTCTAGATTTCTAAGTAAGTAAAGCAGCGTTTTTAGTATTGAATTGATAAGTAATTTTAGATACAGTTTTCATAATAAAAAAGAATAAAGCGGGTACAAACTTAGGAAACATTTATTTAATCCAAAAATGCTACATAAAGCAAGATTTCAGCATCCAGTTATTCAAATGACAAATCGGACTCCATCCAACCATCGATTAGTTATAGAGTTTTCCATTTTTGGTGAGTAATTTTAACTGATTATAAAAAGAAAATTTTGCTGAAAAAACTTTTTGCTAAAAAGTTTGGACTGAAAATGTGAGTCACTTTGCAATATTGACTTTTTTCACATTTGCAATCATCTAAAGAATGCCATCTACTAGATGTAACTACGTTATTAAATTTAAACATCTTGCAACTATTCGATACGAGAATCCTATATTTTCTTTAGATTTTTAACTTATTTATGACTAGCATTAGTTAAAACTTAAAAACTAACCAAAACTTTAAATTTATTTCGTTACCACACACACGGCCAAAAATATTTCAACCAATCTTTCCCATATTTGTCACGAAAGCCTTTCGGGTTTACGGCCGTGTAAATTTATGTAAATATACATATGACCTAGTTTTAGAAAACTTAATATGTAAATAAATGGCATTCTAATAATTGTTTGCATAGTTGAAGCCAGCCGATTAATTTCGGAAACATGTACCTATAAGCTGTCTTCGTTGTATCTATCTAATTGGTTAAAAACAAATTTGAACACATTTTCACAAAATCGGATCAGCATTTTTTTCGTGCCACAGGCGATGTTAAGCATCAAGTCGAACGTTACACACTTCTGGCATTAAAAGTTATCTCTCTTCTTTATGCATGCCGCCATTTTGTTTTGTCGGCCCATGTAATAACGTAGATTCCGGCCTGTAAAGTTCCATATTCTTAAAAAGGAGCGAACAGGATTAGGAATGGTGGCTAATTAAAAACATCAAAATTTTCCCTTTAACGATTAAAAAAAAAAAATTAAACTACCCTTGTTTCAGATATGCGGCGTAGGAAGAACGAATCCAACCCCGCGCGCACATTGCGAACCTGACACTGTTTAATGAAATAGATGAGGCTAGTGCGCATGGCGGGAAGTGAGTTGTAATGGAGTGACACGGCCGCACGCAGCGGCTTCACCCGAGCTTGTTTTGCGCAAAACCAGAACGGATGGATGGTCAGTGGCGGTGTTGAGGGGTAGGTTTTCATCACAGATGTATAAACAAGGGAGATAGAATTGTTTTACGTAGAATAATATTTTTATTTATTCTAATTTATACAAAGTAACAAATAGTTCTTTTCTTAATAATAGCGACATGGTTTGTAAGAATTCTAAAAAAACCCTCAAGTATCGACTGTGGTTGAGTTCGTGAAATTTGTTTTCTTTTAACCATTTTTATAATGTAATTTTGAAATTGTTAATATTGTTACATTACTCACACGGCAATTATTTATTTCCTCTTTCGGGGATTATTTTCTCCCACTTTACATGGTTGCCATAGCAAACATTAATATTTAGGTAACACTACTTGGCTTAATGCCTATATTTGCATCACATCAATAGTAATTTTATGAATGACTAATTGAGTCTCTTTTAGTTCACCGAAGGAGCAGAACCGAAGGTTACTCTACCAAATTGTCGTTTCCATGGACGGGCAGAAGGTTATAGTGGGACCGAGACCGAGACCTTGATAATATTCTTTGAGCGTTATCTTTTATTAATTTGTTTTTCGTTATCGTCAATTTCTTTTCTGCGTTAGATTGGATTTTTTGCAGGTTTAATATTTTTTTAAATATTTTTAGTAAGGTTTTATATATTTTATACTATACTGAACTTTAGTAGAAATTTTCTTCTTAACTGCATTTAATTTCAATACCATGGTGCCTCCACCTTAGGCAAGGAAAGCAAGATCGCGAGATCCCAATGTCCAATACCAATTTTTATCGTGTACACTGAAAATTTGAATTCACGAGAGAGGAAGCTTTACAGAACAGGAAATAGGGAAATATGGCGCATAGTGTAAAGTAGAATTTTGTTTCGGAAATCACTAGCAGTAACAAAAATGCAAAATGAGAAACGGAAAGTTTGACTTCTACAAAAGTTCTAAAGTTCCAACAAAGTTTTGTTGTAGATTACAGAAATTTCAGTTTTTCTCCAATATTTTTGGATAACTTTGAAGAATATTATCGTAACAATTTTAGCAATTCGTAAGTATCTCTTATAATTGTAGGAAGAGATAAAATTTGGTAATGTGTTTTTGCGGGCGATAAATTTGAATTACCAGATTCGATCGTCATTTTTGTTTAGTTTTGAGTGAATTGTCAATTAAACAGGTTAGTTTAAAATAATTGATACCATCATCTTTACTCCAAAGTAATCCAATGACATCATATTTCGCGATTTCGACTTTACCTATATGCTTTAAGTAATTGTTGCCAGAACAATTTTTCAATTTTTGTGGATATTTCTTATATATCTATGAGCCACACGTTTTGCTTATATAGTTTTGCTAAACTATAAGATTAATAAAATTTCCAAATACCAATATTTTCTACTATGGGGAAAGTATTAGCTTTACTATCCATTTTGAATTTTGTTTATAAATTTTTATGTATACAATATCAATTCTTAAATATTTTGGTTATTTAAACTAGAACTCCTCTTCATTAGTACTTCTCAATAACGACATTAGAGTTTGTGTCGCGTTAAGGGGCACGGAGATACGAAAATACAAATCCATTTAACTAATTTAATTTATTGCATTTTATATTACGGAAATATCCGTAATTGTCTAGAATTGCACTCTGGTGTATTGCGTTGTTCATAAATTCGCTAAAGCTTTAGCCAACCTACCTCAAACGCGCAATATAGCCAAATCTCGCATGCAAAACTTCGAAAAAGGTGCTTCATTTGACTTTGGTTATTCTCTCGCGCTTTCGCCGTTGTCAAGAATTAGTACGAGAAATATATAAAACATTAAGTAAGCTATATTTATTTTCGTTAATATTCATTAATTGGTAAGTTTTTAAATCCAATGATTATTTCCTCCTAGTTTATAATTTGATGGCAACGTTTTCACCTTAGCTGAACTCAAAAAAATTTGTTTACATGTTTCATAGCATTTTCAGCAAATGCAAATCAATCTCTATACTTTTAAATTAGTATGTCAACATTTTCCACATTTAGAAATTTAAGCAAAGATGCGTATGTTGTGACTATGTTATAGGTTTGTTCAAGAAAGGTTAATGAGGAGCATCGAATGGAAAAATAAAAATATGCTATGTCGGGTACACCATGCATATCCAATGCATTGTTAAGTGTGAACCTTAACTTTAAAGACTTATTCCTTTATTAATTGACCCATAAAGATTTCTTTATGACATGCAGCGTGCTAAAATTTTATATTTTTGATATAATGTTTGGAGTACTATTGATTATTGTTAAACAGAAAGATTTACATCACAGAACAACCGTAGTTTTGGTTAGAAATATATATTTAATAACTACTTGCGTGAAAGTGTTTAAACTTTATCATTATATTATATAATATACATAAAAATAATATTAAAATTTCCCCACTTGTTTTTCGATTAAAAATCAAAGGCATACATTATTTCAAGTTTGTTTATCAAGAACGACTGTTCGACATGTTTTGCCAAACAGGTATCCCTTTTTTAGCAAAAACGATAAATAAGTATATTTGTTTATTTACCAATCTAGGTAACTACAAAGAAGTTTTGATTTTTCAAAACAGTAAGCTGATATTAAGGGGGGGCCTTATGTAAGTTAAATTTTGCTTCAAATAATGTATAGAAATAACAAAAACCGAGCTTTGCGCTTTTCGAATTGTATTTTAAAACCGAAAGTCTTGTCAGATCCACGCTCATATTAGCTTTCGTCTCAATATTAACCAAGGAATCATTACTTAAGGTTAACCTAATTAACACTCTGTACATAGGCAGATATAAAAATGCTACCAAAGCAAAGTGATACTGAACATATTTAGGTTTAACAATTATTATCAGCACCAAGTGCGTTATATAATTCATTAATTTAAACACATAAGAAGAAATTCGAACATATGTACAACAAACTTTAAATCCCTGGAGTATTCCTTGAATGTTATAATAGTTGTTTTAAAGGTACACTTTGCATATTGCATGAATTTATTGGGAGGACTTCGTGCTATAACATTTTTCTTTTGTATCAGATTCTAGCAAAATGTGTGTTAATAATCAATTTCCTGAAAAATGTGCATTTGGTGCCTCCTCCTTTGCAAAATTCTGTCTTCCTTTTTGCGGTTTTTAATTTTTACTGTGATAAACTCACACCTGGGAAATATAAAAATAGAGAAATGTTAATGTTGCTTGCACTGGCTATTAATTTCACTTTTACTCTGACAACTAAACTATTAAAAATGTTTTACGCTGATTTATATTATTGATTTTTAAAATACTAACCTAATTAAGCAACGCTGGCGATCAAAATTGTGAAGATTAATAAATTGTTAACGGGACTACGACAATAATATAATAATATACCATTTAAATTTAAACTTATTTCTCACAGAAAAAACGAACCACTGTTTTCACTTGCCTTGTAACGAAATAACCTCTCTTAAGAAAATTAACTTGATTAAAAACCCGCCAAAGTAAAGTATATTGATTTCCCGAATGGCCAATTATTTTCCGTCGACCAAACATCCGATCAAAGCAAATTCGATGAGTATATTAAAGCGCAAAGTTTACCCGAGCTTTATTTTAAGTCCTTCAACACCTGCGATATTCTGAATAAAACATTAGGAAGCAGTTCATAGGCCACACGGTCTTTTTTCCATTTCGTTTTTCTTTTGGCAGACATGAACGCAACTGAAAATGCACTTACTATGTGTAACGTAACGACGACGCAGGAAGAATGCAATATCGTGTCAAATTTGAGTGTCGAACAGAGGTTTAGGAACGCCTGGCCCGTGAATGATTGGAAGCCGGGCTTTTTCCTTGAGGATCACATACGGGACATAAACAGACACTGGTTGAAGTTTGATCCGCCGCCATATTCCCAATACGTATTTTTAGCCGTTCTGTATACCGCAATTATGCTTGTTGGAATTTTGGGCAATTGTCTTGTGGTGTATATGTTTGTGAGGTAAGAAGATCAGCATTTATCACAATATATATTATATTTTGAGTTTTGTTTTGTAGTTATTCTACTATATTCGATGTTTTGTTCATTTTCATTTTTGTTCGTGTGATTTCTCAAATTCAAATTTATGCTCAAAATAGTTTTCGATAAGAATTGTGTCTACAACTGCCAAGACTAAAACAAAAAATTCGATTTGTTAATTATTTTACTTAATATGACGATTTACCAATATGAGACTAGAGCCTTTTTGTCCTGGAATATTTAAATTTTCTTCTATTGGACATCAAAACCCGAATTACGGTAAACGATTTTATGATTTAATTTTCAATTTTAAAGCATTAAATGATTTTTCCTTTGCGGTATTTTTTTTTTAAATGGCCAACATTGATTGTTGAAACAAGGCCTTTAAATGTACATTTTTAATGAGGTAAATTAAGTAAACTGCAAACACGGTAAATACTAAGTAGATACATCATCATAGTTGTGGCTAAGGTTTTTATGTGAGTCACACAACACCTACTAAAAAAGCAATTTGTTTTTAATTTTTAATTGCAGAATGAACTGGTTTGTAAAATTTTTGATATCTATTTTCGTAGTAAAATTTTTGGCTTTATATTAATATTGAAAGGTTTTCCACTGAATGTAATTTTTAGGCGTTCTGTCACTTTTATTTAAGTGATTTTTATCAGTTTATTATTATTATTTAAGTTGTCATTCTGATTAATTGAAAACTGTTCTTTTGTATGTATTTGCATTTAAGAACAATATAATCCTGAACCGCAAAACATTTTTATAATTAACACTTGTCATAATTAAAGTGCTATTTTCGTGTATCTAAAGTCGGTGCTTGACTGTTTTTGAGATAGAAAAAACCATATTTTTCAAGGGTCAGTAAACAAGAACAAACCTCGGAACAAATCTTTTTGTACAATAAGGTTCAACAATTTCCAATGTAAATTACGAAAGCTACCTTAGTTTTCTTTCGGAAGTATGCTCGAACACGTCGATTAGTATTTTAAATTACGCTCTTTTTTGTGGAAGAAAAAATTAATGCTACGTGCTCCACACCACCTGCGCTTAAATATAAATGCCAAGACGTCAACCTATATATATATATATATATATATATATATATATATATATATATATATATATATATATATATATTTTATTGGAGGGTGCTAAAAAAAATCTTCAAAAGACGATACTAGCCTGGTGTTTAATGGGCTAGCCTTGTGTCGGATTCAGACACCACACAGAGTGTGGTGTTGCCGCCTACCGACTAAAAAAACCCACCCTATCTACCACGCAGGCACCCTTGTACCGGAAACCGCTTACGCATTACTTCGGTACAAGGGCCGGTCCCAGGTTCTCCACCTATGTAAGGTTTGCGCTAATATCTCTCTCCTTGGTCTCGATAATTTTCCGAATCACTCTGTACGCCTCGCTCCACGTATTTTCTTCACCCATCAGGCTTGCCATCATGTTGCGCGGGTTGAAGTTGGTACCTGTTGTACATGAGTACATAGTTCTTTGTTCCTTCCACCTGTGGCAGTGAAACAGTGTGTGCTCCACGTCGTCCAACAGGCCGCAGTACTGACAGTCACTGGTCTGGGCGCGTCCTCGGTCGGACAGATATTTTCCAAAGCAACCATGCCCCGATAGAGCCTGCGTGAGAAAGTAGTCCACTTCCCCACGCGGGCGATTAAGCCACTGTTGTATGTCCCGTGTCCCATTTCTTTTGCCAGCTGGTTTGGAGGATATTTCGTGCTTCGTTTTTTGTTGCTCCTGAGTATCTTTGCCGCCGTTCCTCTATAAGTAGCGGTATCGGCGGGATCCCCGCTATTACGCCAATTCCTTCCGTGGACACCGTTCTGTACGCGCTGCACACTCTCAGTGATAGCTTTCTTTGTAGTGTTGATAACACAGCTATTAGTCTCTTATTCCCGGTAATCTTGCTCCAGACTGGGCCCCATACAGTATCTGAGAGTATACCACGCTCGCTAGAAGTCTCCGTTTGGATGATCTTGGTCCACCTATGTTTGGCATTAGACACAACAGCGCAGAAGTCGTTTTTTCTGCCTTTTGCACAGTTCGCTTTACGTGCTTAGCGAAACTTAGCTTTCTGTCAAGCCACACTCGCAAGTATTTGACAGCATTACTCAGGCCAATCTCACTACCCATAACATCGAAAGCAACGTGGTGGTTAGCAACACTGCTTTGGTTTTCTCCGGCGCTAGGGCCAACCGTCTCTGCTCGAGCCATCGCGCAACTCTCTGTAGCGCCGTGTTTGCGTTGCGCATCAGGAGCTCCTCGTTCTTTGCTACCACAATCATGCCGATGTCGTCGGCAAACCCTATTGGTGTCACTCCGTTTGGCATCTCCAACGCAAAAAGCCCATCATAGAGCACGTTCCACAGTGTGGGTCCAAGGACCGAGCACTCTAGTACTCCGCTTGTTATGCCGATCCCCTTTCCCTGTCCCTGTGCCTCCAGTAGGATCTCCCTGTCAGGGAGGTATGACGCTATTAAGTTTATTAGGCCTTCGTCCATTTGGCGCTTTCTTAATTCCTCCAGGATTAATTGCCACGAGGCACTATTAAAGGCATTTCGGACATCGAGAGTTATTATAACCGCCAGTCTACGATTTGCATGCGCGAAATTTGAAGCCTTGTTGGAGATTTCAATAACCCTTGCTATGGCATCAACTGTTTGTCTACCGCTCCTGAAGCCATACTGCCTAGCCGACAGACCACCAGTACGCTCAATTTCCCTGTGCAGGCGTGCAATCACTAGTTGCTCGTAAAGTTTTCCCTCTGCATCCAGCAGGCAGATTGGTCTATAGGACGATGGGTTCTCCACCGTGTGGTCGCCTTTCCTCAGCAGGATCATCCTAGCTGCCTTCCATTCCGCTGGAAAGCAGCTTTTTTCTGCTAGCTTATTATAGGTGGCTAATGCATATTTGTCGCCACCAGCTCCTTAAGGATTTCGGCCGGGACACCCCAGGGCCTGCCGCCTTCTTGTTCTTAAGTTTCGCAGCAGCGTTGCTTAGTTCATCCACGGTGAATACTACAGGTTTCGCACCATCGTCGCGAGCAAACGATACCGCGTCATGACATGGAAATAGATGTCGTACGATCTTCTCTGTTGCTTCCATGCTTAGGTTAGGTCATGTCGGAAATCCAAAAAGCTCTTCATCGCGATTTTGTAACCATCGCCCCAGATGTCACGATCAACGTCGTCAAGGAGCCGCGTCCAGCACTCTTTCTTTGCCTTCTTCATTTTGTCTTTGAGCGCTATCTTGCTTTCTCTGTATTCCTCCCACGTTCTTAGTGTATCTCGAATAATGCCATGTTTGACAGTTCTTGTGTATTTCCGTCGCTTATTTATACAGTCTCTACGAAGTTCCGCTATTTCGCTGTTCCACCAGTACGCAGGCTGTTTGTTCCTGAAACTCCCTTTCTTTGGCATTGAGATGTCACACAGCGTTGCCAACTCTTCTGAGAAGTCTCTTGCCGATGATCCATTTTCGCCAAGCGACCCGATTGCATTGTGAAGCTTATTTCTGTCAAGTTTTTTGACTTGCCAGCCTCTGCATTCTCTTTGCCGTACTACTGTCGGGTCACTATTTTTTACTTCAAAAGTTATGTAGTTGTGATCACTTAACGTTTCTGTTTCAACTACTCTCCATTGTCCGATCTTCATCCTGATGCCTTCAGTCACTATGGTGAGATCAAGAATCGAGCCGTAGCCTTGGCTTTGAAACGTTGGCGAGTTTCCCTGGTTTACAGTGATTAAGCCGTTGGCGGCCATCCACTCTGTGACCATTTCGTCCCTCGCGTCAGTATGCGTCATACCCCACTCCGTAGATTTGGCATTAAAGTCCCCAGCAATGATAGTCTTTTCGTTGTTGCCTTGCACCATCCTGCCGATTTCAAATAGGGCCTCGTCCAGTTGATCAATCTCGTCGTTGCCGGAGAAATAACAACTATAGATGGTAAAGTCTACCGTTTCTATAAAGCAATATCCGGAACCGCTACCCTGCCTTTTAATTGCTATGTTATTTCCAATGACTTTTATGGCAGCTTTGCAATCGTTATCCTTAATCCAGTCCTTTCTATTCTGAATGGCGATTCTGTTGGGTTCGCTTACTATCAACACTTCTGCATGCATGTCTATCGCGGTTGCCAGCGCCAGATCTTGGGCTGCGCGACTTTTGTTGGTATTTATTTGGAGGAATCTGATGATTGTGTGGGTGCGGTTGCTTTCTTTGGCGCTACCGCCGCCTGCACTTTTGATGGGCATCTAGGGGAGCCGGTTTGATGGCCCTCTGCTTTACATTGGACGCAGAATGGTTTATTCGAGCATGTAACTGCTTTGTGGCCCTCGTGCCCACATTTCCGACATAGTTTTTCTCTATCTGGCCCTTTATAAGGTTGTTCGGAAAGTCATTTCGTTTTTTCCCGTCAGAGGACTTAATTACGTTTTTTCGAAACCAACTTCACACTTAAGCCGCATAACCATTATATGTCTTGAGAGCTGATATTGCAAGGCTTGCGTGTGAAAAAGTTCTATTAATTCTACGCAGTAGTTTTTGGTTGGTGCCCTTTTAAATGTGGAGAGCAATACGCAGCATTATCGTCATATTTTACTTTTTTACTTCAGAAATGGTAAAAATGCTGTCCAAGCAAGAAAAAAATTGACGGATGTGTATGGAGAAGGCGTGTTAACAGTACGCCAGTGCCAGAACTGGTTTGCAAAATTTCGATCCGGCAATTTTGATGTCGAAGATGCACCACGGTCTGGAAGGCCGGTCGAAGCTGACAAAGATGCGATAAAGGCATTAGTTGATGCAAATCGGCGAATAACCATACGAGAGATTGGTGAGAGATTAAATTTGTCAAATTCGACTGTTTATGGTCATTTGAAAGGCATGGGCTTAACCTCGAAGCTCGATGTGTGCGTGCCCCATGTCCTTACGGAGCGAAATTTGTGTCGTCGCGTTGACGTGTGTGATTCGCTCCTCAAACGTCAAGAAAATGATCCATTTTTGAAGCGGATTATTACTGGGGACGAAAAATGGGTTGTATACAACAATGTTAAACGCAAGAGGTGATGGATCAGAAAAGATGAACCGGCTCAAAGCGTGTCAAAAGCCAACATTCACCAAAAAAAGGTGATGCTCTCCGTTTGGTGGGATGTCAAAGGAATCGTTTTTTTTGAGCTTTTGCCGGACAATACAACGATTAATTCAGAAGTCTATTGTCATCAACTGGACAAATTGAATGATTCACTTAAAGAGAAGAGGCCCGAATTAATCAACAGGAAGGGTGTAGTGTTCCACCAGGATAATGCGAGACCTCACACAAGTTTGGTCACTCGCCAAAAACTTTTACAGTTTGAATGGGACGTACTGCAACATCCACCATATTCTCCAGATCTGGCGCCTTCCGACTACTATTTGTGCCGGTCCCTGCAAAATTTTTTGGATGGTAAAACCTTTACCTCAAATGAAGATGTCAAAAACCACCTGAACCAGTTTTTTGTCAGCAAAGACCAAAACTTTTATGAGAGGGGAATTATGTTACTGCCAGAAAGATGGTAAAAGGTGTTGGACCAGAATGGCCAATATATAATTTAATAAAATATTTATTCATTATACGAAAACTGTCTTTCATGTTCCCCAAAAAAAACGAAATGACTTTCCGAACAACCCAATACATTGCGACTTGACATGCCCTAATCCCCAGCATCTGAAGCATCGATCTTCTCTGTGCCTTTCGTAAATTCGGCAACTAGTCCAGTCGATTTTTATCTTCTTAAGATTGATAAGTTTTTCTGCTTTCGCCTCACTTACAATTAGGGTGGCATTTTGCCTGCCTCCGTAAGCTGGTCTGAGAGCTCTTGCTTCTACATTACTGGGGTTGGTGCCCCTTGCCTTAGAAACAGTCTCTTTGATCTCGTCAGTTGTGGTAACTTCGTCCAGGTCTTTAACGTGGAGAACTTTTTTGCTTTTTAGCAAATGTGCAGTGGCACCGGGTACCTTTTCACCAATTTCCCTTTTTAGCAGTTCAGCTCGATTGGATCCATTATTGACGGTAAGTAAGACTTAGACTTGGCCGTTTCTTGTTTTTCTAAGTTGTCCAACGTCGACGCCTATGGCGCTAGGATCTACAGCAGTTTTTACGGCCTTAAGGAGGTCCGCAAAGCTCGTGTCTTTCATTTCTATCATCAGCGCATCTTCCTTGGGTTTCCTCGGATTCGTCTCTTTGTTGCGTTTTATATGCTGGCTTGGCTGGTTCTGTTCTCGTCGAATTTTTGCAATACGTACTGGCGTATCGCAGAATAAGAACTGCAGCATTCGTGTCATTATGGTTCCGGTGATCTCATCGTTATCGAGAATCGCTATATTAGTTCTATCCTGTTTTATGACTTGGATTTTGATCCTGCGTAGAGCCTCGAACATCTCTGAGTCGCCCACTTCTGACTGAGTAGATTTTTCGCTCAAGATAGGGTAGAATATCCACCTAGTGGACTGCACTAATTTTCCACTAACGTCAGGAAAGCCCACGGAGTGCACCATGATGGCAACCTCACCTTCTCTCTTGTTTTGAGACATAAGACCATGTTTTAGTATTACACAGCAGAATTAGGTCCCATATATATATATATATATATATATATATATATATATATATATATATATATATATATATATATATATATATATATATATATATATATATATATATATATATATATATATATATATATATATATATATATATATATATATATATATATATATATATATATATATATATATATATATATATATATATATATATATATATATATATATATATATATATATAGCATGTTGCAACTATCTTATTCTTTATTTTACCGTTACTTTCTGTTAATACGCGCTGGAATTCTATTTTGTGAATATCACTGGAATAGAATTCATGTACATGATTCACGTTGTAGTTAGTTTCCAACAGATCCTAGAATTTATATTTTAGAATGGATTTTTTTAAAATCACGTACAGTTGTTATATTACCCATATTATGGATTACAGTTACAATTACAACAAAGAAATTGTGCTTTACTTTTCGTTTGGTAAAATTATCACTATTTTGTCTTCGTTTTTTATACTAAACAATTCAAATTGAATTCAGAAGGTCCGCAGTGCCCGTAGTCCTGCTGTGATGTCAAATATACGAAAACAATATATGAGGGTGATATCTTATTTTGAGAAATTTTAAAATTTTAAAATCAGACCAAAATATATAAACGTTTTAACTACAAACTGTACACAATGATGTGTTGCAATCAGAAATACCAAATAAAAATATTAATTATATGTATATGTTTTTAATCGCAAAGAGCATTTCAGGTTATATAAACTTCTTTGTTGAACATTAATATTTACCGTATTTGTTGGTTAATTTGTTTAGTTAATCACTATTTAATCTTGCTTTCTTTTCTAAATTCTCGTCAATATCATTATTGCTTTTGTATATATGTTCCACCGTCATTCAAACTCCTTAATTTCAAGGTTTACTAATTTGGATGTTTCTAACTCTTAGAAAATAGGTCAAGCAAATTAAAAATGTCTTTTCATATTTTTACGAAATAACCTTTCAAAGTAAGGTGTTGCACTTAATATGATTTGACTAAAATCATGTTTGGAATGGTTTACATAACCACAGCAATTCACAACAACTATAAACCTGGTTGTTGCTAAACGGAACTTTTGACGATCTTGACTTAACATAGCTGTGTCACTAATGTGTCGTAAAAGCTGTTCCCATTATTTAGTTATTTTCGTAAATATTACAATCACAATATTATGGAATACAGTAGAAATACAGGAGGCTGTAGCCAGCTGAAGTGGGGACGCCCTTCTTCAGGTGTGTCCCATTCTTTGGATTGACTTCACTCAAAGTTGACGATAAATATCAGGCCTATTGAGTTTCTGTATTCTGGTCTCAACAGCGTTAGCACCCAGCGGGTGCAAACCTAACATATAATTCACCAATAGTTATTCGCCCACCCTCTTTGGGTAGGTCATCGGCGGTAGTCAGGTTTCAATGCCTGCGTCGTCTTCTAGTGGTAAAACGATCCATCTACCGATATACAGTACTTTCAGTCGAACAATATTGATTCTAGCATTGCCTGCATAATTAATTTATAGCAGAATTTCCAGACCTTTGGAAACATTCCTGGTATTTCAATCTTTGCGTATCTATTGAAATAAATGCACCTGCATCGTTTTCAGATGTAAACCATTGCGAACTGCTTCTAACACGTTGGTGGTTAACTTGGCAATAAGTGATCTTTTGATGATGTCAAAAATGCCGGTGTTCGTCTATAACTGCATGTATAGCGGACCCATTTTAGGAAACATTGGCAAGACATTCAATACTGTAAAATATCCCGAAATAATGGTGCCAGTTACAGGTTGCCAGTTTTATGGGTTTTTGGGTGGCCTGACGGGCACGGTCTCCATAATGACCCTTAGCGCAATCTCGCTGGATCGATTTCTTGTGATTAAGTATCCCTTCAAGTTAAAGTATACGAAAATGCGTATAAAGATTTGTTTGGTGAGTATTTTTTTTTCTTTCATTTGGGTTCTTTAGACATATTTTCTTAGGTATTCTGCTGGTGTTATGGACTATCGTTTTCCGTTATCCCACTTCTGGATATCGGGTTCGGAAAGTATCAGTACGAAGGCTTTCTTACGAGTTGCAGCTTCGATTACTTGAGCGAAACCCGAGCTGTTCGGTATTTTATACTAGCTTATTTTACGGCCGCATTTATCGTGCCAATGAGCGCTATAACATTTAGCTACATCGGCATTGTCAAAGTGGTCGGGTCAAGATCAATTGGATCAAAACGAGAATCATTCCGGTAATGCAGTATAAAACGATTATATTTCAAATACAATACCCAGCGCATTCGCCATTTTAATGTTATTTCTTTACAAGTTAATATAATTAGAATTATTTTCAGTCATGTCACAGAAGAAGACAAGCACAAACAGGAACTGAAGTTAGCGGTGGTAGTTCTCCTGGTAATATTTCTGTGGTTTTTTTCTTGGACTCCGTACGCAACTGTGGCGCTCTTAGGAGTATTCCATCAAAAACAGTTTATTACTCCTGTCACCTCTATGATACCAGCTTTATTCTGCAAAATGGCTAGTGCCGTGGATCCCTTTTTCTACGCGGTGTCGCATCCCAAGTTCCGCCTGGAATTACAAAAAATGTTTTGTAACAATTCGGAAGCGAAACGTCGAAAGAAACAAAAAGTCTGGTCTACCCGCCATATGAAAAGGGATCGCTTTCAAAGCAATCGTACAATCAGTTCGGACGTTGAAGAAGATATCGTCGAAATCGAACTCACCCAGAACAAAAAAAATTTCGAGATTGAGGGACGTAACTGAATAATATAAAGAATAAAACATATGCATTAGTCTAGCGCTCAGTAACAAAGTTTATATTTTTAGGAAATTTTCTAGAAACAGACGTTCCAAGTAACAAATTTACTTGCTTCAACAAAAAGCAGAAGTAGATTGATGTGATTGATTCATTTAGAAGAGTGTATTTATGCCTTTTGAGCACCCACACCTCTTTTAGTAGATGTGAATTATTCTCAAATAAAACATATTCAATCTTTTCTTTTGGATCTTTAATTAATTCATAATGCACTTCATACTACATTTGAAAGTAGGTTCTATATTTCCACAGTTTATTTAAGCAACTGTTACATCTTGGGTAGAAGGTAGGTATGCTATTCAGTAACCCGAGCAAGTATGCTAATCAGCGCTTTCAGTTTTCTGGTCAATCTAATTAATACTAATAATTATACTCAGTTTCTTAATGCGCGAGAGTTAAAAAAATAGTGGTCTTAGCCTTATTTATAGGCCCAGTATTGTACCTTTAATTATTGTACCAATGTCCCGAGAGTGCCAAGTGTTTAGTGTTTTGTTTAGTGATAGTGTTTAAAATTACAATCGTCCGGTTATTGGCCAGGTTTGTTTTTGAAAACGGCTAGTGTTTCTAAATTTGTTACTGAAGAACGAAACAAAAATATTATTCTCAAGTGTTCAAAGTTCTTCCTCTTCAAAATCCAACATTCGAAGTTGCAAAAATAATTGTGTGTGCTCGATATGAATGAAGTTCCACAGTCCACAATATACTGAGTGCACGAGGATAATCGCGGCTAATAGTCAGCAAAGAAAATTGCTGGAAGAAAAGAAATTGTAATAAAGGGGGAAAAAAATGTCTGAAGGAAGATGTCATGCCACCTATGGTGGGAAGAAGTTATAGAAAATATTGAAGAGAATGAATTTTTGTTACTGAAGAAATGAAAACTGAAAATGACTTCTAATAGAGACAGGTGAAATTATCTGCTGACAACGAAAACAGCTGCACAGTTTCGAAGGAAAAATATAAATATACGTTATTTGGATGGAATTTGGGTAAATGGATGGTAAATCAATGCAGGACAAAAATTGAAATAGCACTGAAATAAAAGCACACTCGGGAAAAGGTAAAAGATTACTAATTACTCGCATTGTTGGCAAAAGTAATTTTGTCGGAGTGCGGATGTTTTTCAAGACTACTTACAGCAAATGTTAGATCTGATTTCTTTTGGTCTGTCAGAGTTGTGGGTAATGCCAGCACTCAGTAAAATACCTAAGTCTTACTTTTAATAAGAACCAATTTCAGAAAGATATGCTGGAAAAAGAATTATTGGAAATTGTAAATTTGAATAAAGCTCTCTGTATTAATTAATATGGGTGCAAATGAAAGGCTTTGTAGTAGCCAGGCAAAACTCCACTTGGGATGTTGAAACCCTCTTGTTAGAGGGAATAAAGATATAAGATCTGACAAATGCACTGAGTGCGTCAAAAATGTGATTGATTTCGAAGAAATAATAATATTTACTATAATGTATGAAATTTTATTTATCTAACTGTGAAGTAATTAATATCTCAATTACCTGATCTAATAAACTTTCTGAGCAAATTGCAAATATCGAGTTTAAAACTGAAATACGAAATTGATCAGCAACTATAATTGTAATTTATCTGAATTTTATGGTATAATCTTCAAGTTGTCTGCTCTGTCTAATACTCCCTTTCATTGCAAATTAACATTTTATTACTTTCTAGAACCAAGAAATGAAATATATTTTTTTTATATATATTTCTTTATATATTTATTTACGTAATCAGTAAACTATAACACCAATATGGAAACATTAAACTACATTTAAAAGTAAGAATAAAAATACAAGCAGCCTAGGTCTAGTCAACAGTATCACGATAATTAGAAATACTAAAAAAAGTCAATAAATTTATATGTATTTTATATGTATAACCCATAAAATAACAAATACTCACTGTTATTCTATTAAACACGAAATTTGTACCATAGTCTTTTTTATAAACCCCAAGAATAGCAAAGGATTCTAGCTGAGCTGCAGAAAAAAGAGTGTTAGGTCTGCCTAGTCGGTACATGCAGCCTTACCAAGAAGCCTGGGACAAAAACTCCGGAAGTAGAGAGTAGAATTATAAAAGAGAGTCAAACTACGCTGTTCTCGAAAAGCACAACATATCTCAAAGTCTTGTTGCGTACTATTCTACTTCCCTATATATTTATCCCAGGTATACGATTATGCATTATCCAAATTTCGGACAATATTAGCATATGTTTAGAATATTTGGGAATTCGATTTGCGATTAAGACGTTTTTCCTCTTTCATTAATAAAGTTTCAAAATAAGAATTCATAGACCCTCCGCTAGAATGACTTGTCTGCCCCTATTATTTCCCAGTGCTTATAAATAGATCATAACAAACTTTTGACAACAGAAATAAGCTTTCTCTTCACAAGTACCTTCGATTCTTTAGTTAAGAGCCTGTAATTTTTTCTTTCTGTGTAATTGCTTGCTGGACTAATTTTCGCCTGTTCTCGGATGTCACCTTCTTAATGACTTAAACAGTAGCTTAGGGCCTTCCACGTTAAATATTGTGTTTTGCCATGATACACAATCTTTCACTTGCCAAGCGCATTTACGTTTTCTTCTGCTATATCTTTCAAAATTTGTTTTTGTTTCAATTTTCTATGAGTCTATCAAATTCAGTTGGAACTTTCTTGTTTTCGATTCAAAATGATCGTTATTACTTTAAGTTAAAACCTGAGCGTATGGAGGGCCAGACATTTTAACATAATTTTTATTAATCTATATGTTTGAACGTATATTTAGTTTGTATTCGATAAAAGATCTTTTTCGAAGGAGCTACTCACAAGGCAAGTTTAAATTTAAAAACCGTGTTTTGATTCTGCGAAACTTATTTTACACGATTATTCTGCATAAACGAACACCGTCCCCAACGACAAGGATTGCTCTTGTTAAATAAATTTATTTGAAAGGGGGGATACCTATAAAAATCCGTCGGTCATAACACATCCTCCGCATACCTGCTAAAAGTGTTGACCTTGTGAAAACCTCTGCGGATTTATAAGCGATGAAGTTATACGTGCTGTTGTTGTTTGTGTTGGGTGAGTTCACACGTCCTGACTCTGTTTTTCGTACTATCGCCCGTTGCTTTAATTTTATTATTAAATTATTACGTAGATAAAAGTATTCCTTGTTTTGTACAAAGGCCGACTTATGTTTACATCACCCTTATAATTTAGCGGTAAATTAAATCAACAATATAGAACTTTAGACCGAAGAATGATGTGTTCTTGTTTGTAATTAATACTAAGAGTAAAAATCAGTAAGCTAAAGGAATAAATATTCAATATTCATACTTCGTTTATGTGCAAAACTCTTTTTCTATTATTGGCTTTCGAAATCCTTGGATGGGCGAATAAGTGCGGGGTATGTTACTGAGCACCGTATTAGCGCACATTGTAACCCGAAATGGTTTTTATGAGATAATGGGTACAGCGTTTAAGTCAAATTACCGCTAATAACAAGTAAGAAGTAGGTACTTGTTAAAGAATATAACAAATTGGTTGAAATTGGCACTGGTTTAGCTGTAGGCTGGCTGAGGCGCTAAAAATACAGCTTGGTCGATCAAAAATGTACCGAAAAGCGTAACTGCCAGGAAAAATTCTAATAGCAAATTCTCTAAAATACCTTAGATTATGCAGCATACGCATTACATGTAAATATTAGAACACGATCGTCATAATTTTCTTTATAATTGACGTCATTTATATTTGGGACCCGTTTTTTTTTTAATAATTCGGATTTATAGCTTCATTATCATTATTATTAATATTTCTTTTAAGAAAGGTTGTCCAAGGTTCATATAGTAATACAGATCCCATCCATTTTATATTCTGCGATATGGTATAGGACACTTTTCATATACAAAGTATATCAATAGTTCAGCTTTTAACAAAATACGAAACTGATGCAAAGGGCATCCAATGAATAAAAAAAGGAAACAATATTTTATTACATGCGGAATGTAATTTACTGACTTGTTCCATATTCTCTAAAAAGGGTGTGTTAAATTTGCGAAAGTTCTAAATATCTGATACAGGGTGGTAAAGTTTTTATTTTGTTTTTTTCCTTAATATTTCAAATCCCACATCGGATTAAACAATTAAAATTAACATTTTAATTTTCTTAACTTGTCTTTGTATCTCTCGTCACTTCTCTAGAAACCCAATATTGTCACCATCTGTTGCCAATACTAGCATGAATTTATAAATCACTCAGGAACTCGTAGTTGCGAACCCTACTGGCATGAATGCCACTTAAATAGGACATGGTTTCGCGCCTTCGGCATCCGTCAACTTAAATGCATGATTTTTTTTATTTCTGTCTTAGAATAAATTTATTTAATGTAGGACAGTAAGCTAGGGAAACTAAGGTAAAAACAATTTTCCTTTTTTTAACATCAATGTTGCCAAAGGTCTCCTATATACATTCAAGCAACTAATGCTGAGTATAATAACGCTCAAGCCAGATATTTTTGAGACACAATGCTATTCTACACTTTTCACATATAATTTATAATCTATTATCTCTAGCGACTTGGGTCTTCGCATCTATTTTTTTTTCAATGGCAGGTAATATCATATTTCATCCGCGCTAACCTCCATTTGGTTGCCTATTTTTTTCCCTTTTTTTCATTTTTCTGCAATTTGTAGTTCTAAATTACTTGGTCTACCTCGTTTACAATTAAACTTGCCTATCTCCCACCACGATATTAATGTGACTAATTGAAAATTACAACTATAAACTATGAAATAGATACTGTGACAAATTCAGCACCCGTATTTCAATAACAAGACATTGAGAACAAATGTTTATATGAACTTTTCTACTTAGAAGTTAAGTAACATATTATACGTGCCAATACAGTTAGAGTTTTATAAAATATTTAAAATGTTTAAGAAAACAATTACAATGAATATGTGGGTGCGTCCTAAAAATACCGCAGACCTTTCTCATCGGTTGACTGACGCCATTGTTTCAGAATGTTAGAATTTCGCAAAACTAAGTTGCGTTTTGCCATACGTATGTGCTTTGTGCGCATGATAATATATTATGCAACAAGTTTGATAAGCGACACTTTAGGGATGAGTTTGTTTTGGAACAATCCGAGCTAGTGTTTAAATAACGAGTGTCTGAAGAAATTTGTCATAGTGTTCCATATTTTTCTTCGACCATTAGTGTTAGGGTATACTTCTACAAAATATTTACTTTCACTGAGTTACGTATGACGCTAGGTGTGATGTAACCGTCAGGACTGAAACTTTAAAATACAATTAGGGTTTGAAATATACAGAAAAAATCCGATCGCTCCCAAACCCATGACTAAAATACCGGAAAAGCCTGACTTGCAACAGTATTTAATGATGTTTGATGTCTTAAGATGGCACTATACTCACATATGCTGCATAATAGGGTATTTTAAAATGGCAGTAGAAAAGGATATTTCAGAATGTATGTATTAGATACGATCTTGCGATTGATGGGATCAAATAAATAAAATTTGCTTTACAGACTCTGGGACTAATTATTCTTACTTCCATTCGATTTCCCCATAATCATTTTCACAAAAAAGGTATACTTACCACATTTCCCAACACTCAACAGTTTATATGTTTGTATTACAAACTTTTGCAGGAATTTTGATCTGCATTGATATTTTATCTCCAATAATTTATGCACCTAACTAACCAAAATTATTAAAACGATTTAAAATCGACCCAAGATTGCCATGCCATAGAAAGAGGAGTAAACAACTGCCACCGAGACTAATTTGTCTATGATATGGTGAAATAATTTTTCATCTGATTTTTGATTTTGATTCATTTGATTTCCGAATATTTATTATTTTTGACATACTGACCATATTGTTAATAAATAATAAAACCCAAAAAGAGTACTTTTAGGAAGACTTTCAACGATTAAAATGTTATTAAAATACCGAATTTGACAATTTGCGAAATATTATGTTGTTTTTGACATTAACACCTGTTTGAGTGTAGTGTTATCGAAAATCTTGCATAAGACGAAGGAAGTATATCAACATGTTGCATACTATACTTTTTCAACGACCGTCACAATTGCCAAAGTAGGAACTCGCTCCTTAAATATCGCCAACGACACTTTCCGCAAGAGTGTTAACGATCTTAAAAGAATTTGCAGTCCCACAAAATCGTAAACAGATGAACGCAACTTCAATGATTTTTAAGCGTAACTGAAACTTCGTAAGAACTTTTTAACGGTACATTTTGGGAACTATCACTCCGTGATTTAAAACGTTTTTCATGTTAATGGAAACTCCAGCGCGATGAATCTAAGCAAAATTTTGCCGTTGCTTTTTTCTATTTTAACGGAAAATCGATTGCGATCAGCTGGTTAATCTACATTTATGCAGATTTCGATTCAGCACACCATATTGTCCATTAAATTTCCAGGAAACATTGACTTTCATTGCCAACTACGTTCAATCATTTACACCAACCGAAACGTGACTAATATGAATAGGTTGCGCAATCCTGTAATTATTACCAACAGCTATTATACCGCGAGATCGTTTATTTCTCGACATTTCCCGCAATATTCATTCAAGTATTAATATCGGTATCCAAAAATAAACCCAGACGCTGGACGAATCGCTAATTGCTCAAAATATTTATTAAACAAATTGAGTGCCGTCCGATCTGTTATCCTTTGATCTTTCGGAGCGTTTGGTATTTTAAAGGTCGCGAACTGTTAAAAGATTTTGACGCAAAACGATATCGAAACGCGTGTTGCAATTGTGTATACTTGAGATTTTTTTTTGTCGAGTGTATATTTTGTCTCAATCCGTTGGCGTCTGTTGATGATTTTAATTTAAATTACGCATATTAAAGGATTTGTACCAATCCACACATTTTTGATTTTAAAAAATGCTTGTTATACCCAATTTTGCACTGACCAAACGAGCGCCAATCATCACTTTAAAGTGCCAACTTCGTTTAACACAGTCGCGAGCCACTTGCAACGTTTCTTCTCCTTAAATCACGGGTCAAGTGACTTCGTGCATGTATTCGTGCATTTTGCAAAAATGTACCGAAACTAATGGCAGTAGTAGAGTGTACTATGCAACATGTTGATAAATTTGTTCAGTAATTGGCACTAAGTACTTCTCAACTCATGACTAAAATGATGTTTACCAAAATTATTCCATAATACACTATAATGTTAATTTCTCATTCTTTTTCTGATCCTATATCCATTCTTGCGCCTTAGGGTCCATATGCCCATTATCTTCAGTTGATTGCCAGGGTTTTGTCTTTTGCCCGGTGAAAGGAGGTGCTCTTTTTGCCTCCAAGGGAGGTTTTCTCGAATCTCGCTTGCGACATGCTCCTAAAATGTGCCCTGTGCCTTAGATATGACGCTTTCCTGGACTTTGTGTATGAGTGTATGACATCTTAGCATAGTAGCATGTATTGAATCTTTCGAAATGCAGTCAGGTCCATACCGATTCTTACTATAATTTCTTCAACCCAATCCCACGCGTTATTAACAACACAGCCGAGGTTCAACCGATCAATGATCCCGCCGCCTACATTTCATATTTTCCAAATCACCGTTTTAAAAACTTTATTGTGTAGCTCATACCGCTGCCCAACATCATCTATCTGATTATTTATAAGTGATATATTTTGTACTCTTTCCATTGATGCTCATATATCTGGATTCATTTTCCAGACCAAGCTGGAATATTTTTGAAGACAAAATGTATCCGTGTCGCATGCCTCCGTGTCGCTTAACTTTACTTGGGCTGTTTGGTTCCAATATGCTGTGCTCTTATTTTAATTCGATATTTGAGATTATCGAACGCTCGTTGGCAATGAATAAAAGAGATGAAGACATCTTCTTGTTGACTACGGTTTTGTACCGAGAGCTTTTCTTGTTCCCAGTCCTCTATTTATTTCTTCTCATTTTTTAGGATTATTTTTCTTTGGGATGATAACAAATGTCGATCTACTGGCAATTTATGCCGATGAAATGGATTTCTAATTTTGTATTGAGTTTTATTAGCAGGAAACGTACAGATTTATTATTTACACGTCCCTTGTAAAGTGTTACACTATCTTATAATTCTCAACGAATAAGTAACATTGGAACTACTGAGTTCTAACCCTTGTACCTTTGCAGATTTATTTTGATTGTAGTATTGTTAGTTAGTATTGTGCTACATGAATTTGGTCCTTTTAAGTTTCGGTTTAAACTTTCTCCATCTAATAAGTTGTTTGTTTTGGAAATTTAGCCGTGCTCTTGTCAGCTGTGTACGGCGCCCCTTCGAAGGGATCCACCAAAGCGTCTCTGAAGAAGAAACAGAGCTGCGTTAAAGAATGCGGCGACACATACAAACCGATTTGCGCCGGAGACGCATCTACCAAAGGCATCAGCTTTGGAAGCGCATGCGTGCTCGAAAACTACAACTGCGAAAATCATAAAGGTACCAACTTCGTTGTAAAATTCGTTGTTTTAATGTATATTCCAAAGTATTTCACAAACGCCACTTGGTTGACGATTTCTATTCTCTCGGCTGTCTAACAATAATTCTTTGCCTTGTTAAGCTAAGAAAAAATCTTTATTGAAAACTCTGAGATTGATGGCAATTGTAAATCCCTGTTCCTTTACTTAATTTAAAGTTTAAATAATAACAAGGAGTTTTGTGTTCGTTTCATTTTAGAAATTAACCTTTTTCACGAAGACTTTTTGTTTGTTTCATTTTTTTCTGCTGCTCTTAAAGTAAAAACCAAACTAGATTGTCAACTATTCCCAAGTATAAGGCTCGTTGAACAATAGTAATCCATAATCCTGACTCTGACATTGATTACAATGGTAAAATGCTAAAAAACTACTTGAAACTGTCGAGAATATGGTTTCTACAATGTCACCTGACAAACCTTGCACTTATATCATTTGCAGTGATCCAAACTCAACCAGCTGTTGCCTTGCTTAAAAATTTCTAAAGACACAAGCATCAGTAAAAGGTTTGCAAAGCAAAGTTTTGTTTAAAGTGGGTTTAACTACAGAAGAGTTTTGTGATTATTTCGTTTAAGGAACGAAAATACTTGTTTCCTGCTTTTACATCGAAAAGCATACTAGACAGCTTCGGGAGACCGACAGTAAGTCAAAATAAATGTTTTTCGATTATGACGTTTCTGCGCAGCCTTTGCGTTATGTCCAGACGGGGGGTAAGGAAAACGTCCAAATAAAACGATCCACTATGCTATCTGGAAACTCATAGGAGATACGAAAAAAAGATTCGTACAAAAGTTTCTTGAACTCTCCCGAAGTTTTAAAATATTATAATTTTGTTGATACAGGGTGTCCCAAAAGTGTCTCCCCGACATCAACTTAGTTATTTTAAATGGAATCCTTGTTTAAAAAAGGTAACTTTCTTAAACAATTCCTATTCAAATTTTGCATAGTTTAGTCGGGAACCACAAACTAAGGAGATGATGCACTACTCAATCGGTTTGACAGATGCGCTTCAGCTTATACAGGGGGTCCCAAATAGGTGATGCCGTCTTGGCGAATTCAATTAACAAAATCTCAAGATTTTCAAATGGAACATATATTTTTATTCAGATATTAATTCTAAAAAATAAGGTAAATTTGTAATTTATCTTATATTTAAATTTTACTTACTGTTTGAGATATTCGAGGTTTAAAAAATGTCGAGGTTAACAAACTAGACAAGAGATTCTTCCATTAAATAATAGTATATACATATAGTATATACAATGTGTATTGCAGAGAATGGACAATACATTGAATATATATTACAGCATCACAATATTTAAGTTTTTTTAAAGTTTTATCTATTCAAATTTATAGCCTTGTTTAGTTAGCCTATAAAGTTTAATTATTTATTTTTGTTATTAAGTATTTTCAATCAAGCTAGATAATTAACTATAAAATGTTTCTTTAAATATTCATTCTGAAGTTTTATTAAATCTGTTAAAGTGTGTAGCATAGAGTCGATTTTTTTCAAAATTGCTAGCAAAAGGTTTTATTCGTATATCTGGAGTATTGTATCGTCTATCATGTTTTTGCTATTTAAAAAAAAACCTAATATTCAACAAGAATTTATAGGGGTGTTATTTGAAACCTCGAATATCTCAAAAAGTAAATAAAATTTAAATATAAGATACATTACAAACTTACCTCATTTTTTGTCGTAGAATTGATATCTGAATAAAAATATAGGATGTTCCATTTGAAAATCTTGAGAGTTTGTTAATTGAATTCGCCAAGACGGAGCCACCTGTTTGGGACACCCTGCATAAGCTGAGGCGCATCTGTCAAACTGAGTAGTGCATCGCCTCGTTAGTCCGTGGTTAAATTTCACTCAACTCAATTTTATATGGGGCAATCAAAATTTTAAAAAAATGCATAACCTCAATTTCGGCCTAAACTAAGCAAAATTGGAATAGGAATTTCTTAAGAAATTAACTTTTTTTTAAACAAGAATTCCAAAAATGTATACAGGGTGTTCGATTGAAAACAACAAAGTTGATGTCGGGGGGACACTTTTCGGACACCCTGTATCGACAAAATTATAATATTTTAAATTTTCGGGAGAGTCCAAGAAACTCTTGTACGAAACTTTCTTGGATTGTTTTATATGGCACACGGTGTACATCAATTGAAAGTTATGACAGTGATTTAACATAAAGCAATTTAGCGTGGATTAAATTATTTAGATCTTAATAGGTTTCATGACTTTTTGGAGAGTACACAAAATGCATTTGTTACGTTATTCTCGAATCAAACTCTGCTCCTTAAAAATATGTAAAGATTTGTGCATCAGCTGTCTTGTTTTCTGCAATTAATTGAATTCTTAGGGGTTAACAACTGTCGGTGACTTAGATTCCTAAAATTGAATGTTATACCTTTTACAAGATAGTTTGAGTTGATTTTATTGTTGATTAACAGAAAACTGTAGAGATTTATTACCTATTGGTTGTAAAGTGCGCAGCATGAAAAATTTTAACTCCAGGATTTGGAATAGTACATATATACAAAAGTATATGAAAAAATGAGAACGATCTATAAAAGCATTTGAACGTTGTAAAACAGCCACGGCAATTTTTTATTATTATTAATTAATATTCTTTACCGAAGTACAAATATCAGTATTTGTTAATTGTATCCTATAATTCGGAAACGAATAACCAACATTGGAACTAATGAGTTCCAACTCTTCTAGATTTATTATTTAAATTAAATAAGGCGAGGATAAGTTTCTTTCGATCTAAATAGGTTTCAGAGGGACTTCGGATGGTATTCAAAATCCATTTAATACATCATTCTCGAGTAGTTATTGGTAACAGACTCTGCTCGCTAAAAATGTGTTATATTCGTTATATGAGGTTTCTTGTTGAAACGAATGATCCGCATTCGAATAAGTGTGCATCGAGTGCGTTCAGGGACGTCAAGGATTTATTTCCGACCTAGTTAACTATAATTACCAAATCCGTAGATACCAGTCGATAATTTCATTCCGATAATGCGGTGCTATGTTTATTGAGAATTTCCTTGACATTATCCAGCCCGAGTGTCGTGCATGTAGAACACTTTATTAATACGTGTGGTAGAACATCAGCGGTGTACCACAGCGTATGTACTTATTTACAAATAGTACATATCCATTAATGTCGAAATAATAGTAATAATGATAATAATAAGAAGTAGAAGTATAGTGCTTATTATTACAAATTATAAATTATACATGCCAGACTAACTATATAAAAAAATGTGTAGAAGGAATAGAGCAATGAAGATATGAAGATAGGGAGACATGGCGATTTAATTATCATATAAAGTCGACATACGGAATACATTCCATTCCGATTTCCCATTTCTCCAAGCCTATGGGAAACTCTCTGCCTTTGCCTAATCACGTATATTGGTCGAACACAGGAATTTTGGACTTTCGGCGATAAAATTGTATTAGCAAAATTAAAATGTGATACAATTTAAGTTTCACATACTCTAAATTTATACATAGGTTTTTGAATCTCGAACATTATCATTCTAGAATAACATAGCAACAGACTATAGTCGATTGATTTGAAAATAATGTTCTTCAGAGGAAGAGAAGCCAAGAAGAATTCAAGAAGTTAATTCTATATAAAGGGTGGCCGAGAATACTTAAAATGAGGGATTCTTACTTTAAGTCGGATGGACACTTACCCTTTGATAACTGTCAAAAATCAAGATACTAGTAAGGGGAAAGTTTCTCCAAAAATATCCCTATGGTGAAGTATTGTATCAAATGCTTTTGTATAATTAATCAATTTATGCTTAATTTTTATTCAAGTGGGGGTCTTAACTTAAACAAATCTTATGGGAGCACTAGAAATTATTTCAAACTAACCAAAACTCTGCCGATCTACTGTGCTACTCTGGCGCAGAGAGTTCATACTTTAAAACGACATTGGGCGAGGTTACAAGCCTGTCGCAAAAGCCATGCTTTTTATACAGCTTGTAGTTGATGTCTGCAGAAATTTTTCTTCAGATGTATAGCAAGAAATAAATAATTAAATTATGCTACGCTACTGATTGCTGATGCATTCATCATTTGCGACAATTTTAAATTCGAAGTGAAAGTATGTCTGGTTGAATACTTTATATAAATTTGTTTCATACTCGATCGTGCATATTATAACAAAAAATAATATTGGTATAATGTTCTGTATACGATTAAAATATTTTGAAAAATGCAAGTAAAATAAAGTATAATGAAGAGAAAAAAAATATGATCTCATTGAAATTTAGTGCAAATAAACACTGATTTCAGAATTTACGTTTGTTGACGGCATTCTATCATAACATTTCTTCTTCTTCAATAGATATTAATTTGTTACACTGTAGCATTCCATATTCAGGGCAACATGGAATTAACTTTCTTGTAAGATCACTGATACTTATCGAAACAGGTGACATTTTAACCAGGATATAAATTATATAAAATGAGACCTGAGAATGATTACCGTCGACTAGGTTGTTATCCGCAGATATGCGTAAATATCTGCAGACAATTTTTGCCAGATTCCATTGGTCTATATATTTTAATTACTTAAAGTTTATGAGAAATTTAAAAAAATATTTCAAGACTTTGATGATTTACTATTTATCACAAAAGTTGTTTAGTCAAATATTTGGATGCAAGCAAGTTATTTGTTATAAAAAAAACTGCAAGATTTCGTTTGATTATATTTTTTCTAATTTTATTAAAGTACCATTCAAATTTGACTTAAAAAGTATACTTTGAATTCAATAAAAGTTTTCGATACCTTTATACCGATATTATATCCGACCTTATCTGTCTAGTATTAAACTTATATCTACCCCATATATCTCTGATTATTTGAAAGTGTTCATTTTTTATATTTATTAATAAAAAAACAGTTAGTAAATACCACGACAACACACAAACAAGTACGATTACACAATTACTGGAAAATAGTTGTGCTGAACGGGCCCTTAGAAAATGAATTTCAAGATACTGTGACACGAAATAGGGATGATAAGAATTTCGATTTGAAAAAATTAGAGAATAGTATTCAGTATATAAAATGTAAATTAATTTATTAAATCTTACGGATCTTTTCCACCGGAAAAACAAGGACTTCCGAATCATACATAGGCATTGTGTTTCTATCAAAGCGACGTCACACATGACATGTGGTACTTTTTGAAACCGCAAGTATTTCTACCGACAAGTTCATGGAACATGAAGAAACAGCATATGTTGAAGTAACCAAAAATCGCAAAAATAATAAAACAAAACACAAATGCTGGGTAAGGAAGAGTTTGACATAAAGAGTAAACTTTATGCCCCAACAATCGATTTCTTCAAAGTGCGTCTTTTCTTTACGCTTGCTCTAAAATTCTAGAATTGTCCCAGAATATTGTTCATTTTTCGTTCCACTTCATCTATATTTTCTCCCATTTTTCCGCTACTTTTGCCGCGTGTTGTAGTTTACATTTCTGCACTTCTAATTAACGGTTTTCGTTTTCAATGAATGACAGTTATTTTGTTATTACCACTAATTCACGTCCCTTGTAAACAGTATTTCCATGTCTTGACAATCAGAAACCAATTTTTTACAAATGGTACTGATAATTGTTTTCTAGGGTTCTTTGTTTCTGGCACGAACTTATGTTATCACAAATTTTGTATTTGTGTCAACCGCGTAATGACGATGCGATTTTAAAATTAGCAACTTATCGTGCGGGCATTGATGCATGAATTTAAATGTTCGACGTTACGTATTTTATCTATAATCCGAAGTTATCGAAAATTAGCATTTGATGTATATTTTTATTTGCTTAACTTGACGAAACTATAGAACTTATTTATATTTATTTCTTTTTCAGAACTGAACGTGCTTAGTGAAGGAGAGTGCCCTGGCGGAGGCGGAGTGCGACTGTCTTAAGTTTGAGTAAACTCTTTAAGTAAATAAAAAATCGTAACATGCAATGTCATTTTTTTCTAAGTAGAACCTATACATTGCTTACTTTACACGTAAGTTTTAGAAAGTGTATTCTTTATAGTGATTTGTTCTTGAATAAATAAATTTAAAAGCCTTAATTGCCATTATTTCTGCAGAGCGAACTGAGTTAACTATTAAGGATAATCCTTTAGACCAAAAAGTGATTTAGTATTATTTAGCAATAGATCAAATGCTTCTTAACTAGTGAAAAAATTAAGTTTATTTGACGGTTAGTGATTTGACGTTCAAATTATAATTCTGTTGTGTAATGATGAGAATTGGATATGAGGCTATTATTTAAAAAATTTTGGCTTTGGTCTCTTACAGATAATTCAAAGGTTTCTTTCCTTCTTCGGTAAAACTGATTGAACATTTAATATAACAACTGTTAGTTCGACAAATTTGAACTCCATTTTCCATGTTCAAAAAAAGTGTAAGAGATTTTGTTGTTTTGTTAGATTCCACAATATTACAACGCTACAATAGCTATTTGTTTTTTTGTATAATTATATTACTTCAGATGAATGGTTTAAACAGAGGCTAAAGAATTTAAAAGAACTAATCACCAACCACCACTATCATTTGGAAAATGGAGAGCATTGTGTTGACAAACGGTTTAAATTTATCCAGTGCTATATAAACAAATAGCTAGAAAAACGGACCAAACAATTAACATTAATTAAAGCAAAACGCGAGCCACCTACAAGTGGTTCAATTGCGGTTTTAACATTAATTTTATTTATTTATTGATTTACACTGCTCAACAGAATCATTCACAATTATAGAGCAAGAGAACACAAAATATATTACATCAAGCGATACCTAAACTATGTCTCACGATCGGAAAACCATAGTCAAGCCTATAAAAAATGGAAGAAATCGTAATTAAGACTAATAAAATAAATACAGTTATTTACTTAGAAAGCAGATAAAAATTAAATTAATCACAGTGGGGTTTTGGAAGGGATGATATGGGTGTTTTCTAGTTGGGTATTTTATTTAACTTTTGAATTATTTTTCCTCATTCTTAGCATTTCCACCACTTTCCTTTTCTCATATTCAACACTACCACTAGCATCAAACTATTCCATTAATCATTAAAGAGATTGTCCTCTTGTAGAATCTCACTGGCAACAAAGTATTTTTTTTCCGCCTCAGCAAGTATATAAGTCATATTAATTAATTGAGCTTTAGGAAAATTTATACTTATTTTTTTTTTAATTTACTGACACCACAATAAATGTCATTATCCACTAAGCTATAGGCAGAAAAAATGGTAATTATTACAAAAGTTAAAATAAATTGTAAAGTATGAAAAATAGGTATATGATATACTTCATAAAAGTTGTAGGTTTTTGTAATTAAAATTGCACATATATTCTACGTAACATCCGAATAACTCTAATATCAAAATCTACCTTCAAAAATAATGGTGCTATAGTAACATTTTTGCAAGTGTGAAAAGAAGTATTTCTATAGGAAAATTTATTAGGTTTAGGTCTGTATTATTATTAATAGAAAGAATTTTGAAAGGAATTTAAAACAAAATTTGAAAATATGGTGTTTCATTTAAAAAAAAAATGTTAATTTTCTCTCTCGCTGTATACTTCGAAATTATTGGATTGGATTGGATTGGATTAGATTGACCATTTTCTCATAACTTTTGAAACCAATCAGATAATGAACTTTACTCTCTCGTCGACTCGCCCTATACATATTATACAAAGGCGAGTGCTTTAAGACAAAACCATGAAATTTAGTTGCTCAATTTTGTCAGTCAACTGAATTGGGTATCAGTTTATGAAGCAAAATTTGTGACAGGTACAAGATGGCAACTTTAATATCCATATATAATGAATAAGGGTGAACAAGAGCGTTATCGAGTCATGGGAATCACTATGTCTGCAATCCCATGTTATATGTGGTGCTGTGCTATACTTCTAGTGTACCACAAATGGCTGTTTCAAATGAATTGTTTCGCGTAAATGTATCGAATTAAATTTGTAGAAAAGTGAATATGAATTCGAAACATTTTATGATTCAATATTAAGCTTCTGTGTGAAGTAACTTTTGTAACTCAGGTATAATTCCTATTATCCCAATTAACTTCTGAAATTAAGTAAACTTAGTGGTATCATATTAATTATTGACCCAAATACAGACGATCTTTTTTTAGGACCTTTCTTCCTTTCTTCTGCTCTGGTGGGCAATGGTCAAAAATGACAATCCATTCTCTTGTTATCCTATTATGCCCAAATTTACGTAAAATAAAGTTCAATATGTTCAAAGGTTACGTTGAAATTAAATTTTTGAAAGTTCCAATTGTTTGGGATTGGGACAAAGTTTTTCAAAATTGCTGCAATGATTGCCGAAACCTGATGAAGTATTTTTTTTTTCACACAGTGTATTTGAGACGCCTCCTTTACGAGCAACGCAGGCGTAAATCTGGATGGTACGCGATCGTACCATTCAGATGTTCTATCTAACAAAATTAAATATTTTGACTTAGATATAAGGTCATAATGTTGTAATGAACCGATAAAGTACAGTAATTGCCGATTTATATTGCCCAGTGCCCTGGGCAGATCTTTTACAAAATTTCATTTTTTTATGTTAATACTTACTGGCAAACATTAAGACTGGCCAAAGCAATTATTAACAGGTTCGATGAAAGCAAAAACGCCTAATCTGCTCTTCCCAATAATATATTAGGTACCACTATTCCACGAAACATGAATCGATATAACCTCTCTCGGAAATAATTATATCCGAGTAAATAATTTTTTAATGACTTTTCTTTACAGAAGTATTCATTATATTTGTTCTCTTTTAACTCAAGTCAGTTTGTTTTCCAAAAAAACGTCTTTTTTACTGGATGGTTTAAACTGACGGTTTCGAAGTAATTATAATTTCGTTTTTCAAATAATTTTCTTTAAATAACAAAGTTTATACTTTTTTCAGTGTTAACAAGAAATTGCCCAAAGTTTGACTAGTTGAAAAAGTTTTGTACTGGTATTATTTTGTATAATAAACACTAGTAGAATTAATCATTTGAGAGAAGTGTTTTAACTGTTCTGAGGACTAAGAAATTAATTATAGATGATTTTTGGGGTTGACGATAACGCACTTATCTATCCATTAGTATGGGCGGTGTTTCTGTACACAAAATGATCAGAAGGTAAGGCTGGTTTTTGAGTAATGAGAAATTGATGTTAAAAAGGTAACGAATATTTATAAGGGGATTTAGAAGAAACCTTGTCTGTTATAACAGTTTTTGTAGTTTTAACTTTTGTGAAACGTCCAAAACCAAAAAACTTTAAGTTTTATAAGTTTTTTTCCAAAACGTCACTTTATCTAATTCTTTCTTTATCTTTCTTTACCTTCTTCACCTTTATCTATAGTGTTGGTTATTTTTGGTTTTTTAATAGAGCTATAACATTTTAAATACCTTAAGATGACGCCGCTACCCTTGGAATTTCCTAACTTAGTCTGTAATACCGTTATAAATATTAAAACACCTAAAAAATATTATACAGCTACTATGGACTATTATACGCTTGGAACGAGCATAAAAGGCGTTGCTGTTTTCCAAACTTCTTTCGTTTTCACGATTTTTATTGCAATATTTAATTTAATTATAAACTTTATCTGCAAAATTTTAAAAAAAATTGACAAACTCCATTTCAAGAACAAATAAAGAAACAACTGATTGTGGTTATAATTGCATAGTTGACATCTGTGCACTAATATTTTCATTTGACTTTCCACTTACTTTTAGTTTTATAGCGCTTACGAAAATTTTTATAATAACCTTTTCGGTAACTTATTAAAATATCAGTATTCTAAAATCATAGTCATAAAAGTTATTTATAACGACAACCTCTTGGTTAAAAATAAATGGGTAGTAGATATTTAATATAGAACGCAAATTTGGTCACTTTTATCTAAGATTCTCCATTTAAGTGCTAGAGGGGTTCTATAAGAGTAACGAAAACGTCTCCTGAAAAAATGATATATTTTCAGGATTTATAAAATAGGTAAGCGAAAAATAGAAAAATGTTTCTTGGGGAATTTTTGTGTTCCAGAAATTATGGAAGAGATTTGTGACTGGGAAATTAGAACACAAAAATATCCTTTATACATATTTTCCATACTTTTTAAACCCGGCCCATGGGAAATGCAAAAGCAATGTGCGTTTAGTTGGATAAAAATCACGAACTTTGGAAAAAAATGACTGGCAAAGACCGATTTGAATGTTTGAGGACTTTGATAGAAAATTTCAAGCCATTCTTGCTTCAGTGTATTATTAGTTAGCAAACCTTTGAATTATTTAGCTAGTTTTTTTAGCATTTTTAAACATCCAAAGGCAATGCGGCTCCGAAGCTTGTCACAATTTGACGAAATGGTCAATTGCACAACTGGCAAGTGTTTTGAGGATGGCCCAATACGGAGTGGAAATAGAAGATGAATAGATTTCAGTGTCTTGTTGATCCCATCTAACAAACCTAAATGATTTGTTAGAAGTAACATCACCAATAGGCAAAATTTTCCCGGACAGAATTCTTGGAATTGCCTGATCGGAGTTGTGCGAAGAATATATATAGTTTTATTCTTTTACTTCTGTTCTCAAAATGTTACCACTGCACTGGTGCTAGCTATCCAGATATTATTATTATTATTATTAGATTCATAATGGTTATTCAAAAATAGTCATCCAAATATTTTCGAAAGAGCGATAACCTTTAAGAAAAATTCATACGTAATTATAGATGCATTTGAAATAAGATTTTGCAATAACATGCGATAACAAAAACTCGAGGATAAAAATATTTTTCAGAAAACGTTAAGTCGATTATCCGATTCGGTCATTTCAAATTCCTTAATTTATCTTTAGGTATAGGTACTTTGTGAAACACTGCACAATATGAAGTATAACAGACAAAAAAAAGATTTTCTTGCCACTCAAGTTCGCGTTGACGGCAAAGTCGGTACGCCAATAAATCGAATATTTTTCGATTAAGGGAAATAGTAAATCAAAATCTACATTACCCAACAATTAACGGTATCTAATTTGATTCTGTAACGTCTTTCACTTTGAAGATTTTTTCTTGTAATTGCAGTACGGACCCACGTACAGGTTGTCTCCAAACATTGATACGAAAATTCTTCAATCGTTGTCTTATTAGAAACTTCCACAGGCTACTTAATTATGTTTTACAAATATTCTGGATTTCACCTGCGCCGGTTGTTAATAAATTAAATTTGTTGATTTTTCTCCAATGATCCTGTTGGTTTATTTAAAGCTAAATTGAAGCTTCAGTTAGGTTCTGGAGATGCCAACAGGGTCACAGATGTAATAAAACATTGCATGGCGAACAGAAAAATGAAAGCTTATTCGGCAGTAAATATATATCAACTTTACTTTGCACAATTTTCCAAAGAAAAATAATTGATAAAATTTTTCATTGTGTCGTCAAAATTCGAAGCTTGTATCAATTCCATCACTCCATATTACTCTAAAATACTTAATACAGCTTAAATTCTTAAAACTTTAATAGTAAACTATTTTGCACAAGTTGCTTTCGTCTGTAAACGGAAACACAAGAATCCTCCTTTCCAAATTGATATTAAGAATTGTCCAAAAAGTCAATTATATTTTTCTCAAAGCTGCAAAACTTTAACTTATACCCTACTATAATATTATAACTTATTTCTGTATTTGTGAAATAAAAGTTTTGCAGCTTTGAAATAAAAATTTTTGACTGCCTATAAACGATGAATTAAAACTCAATATCAATGTTGATGATGCGTGTGTTTACCAAAGTTACATCTTTTACATTTTTTATAGTCATTAATAAGACACTATTGGGAATAAGTGAAAGGAAATTTGAAGGAATCTAGCATAAACTTTTCTCGGAAAACCAAAAATGAAATATTACAATGAATGTGGTTTTTAAAATAAGGAAGTTAGGGGTTGTGAGAGAGGTACCCTGTGTAATGCTTACTATTTTCACACAAATAATTGTTGGTTCAAATAGACTCTTATGAAGAGTCCCGCACAAATGAGCTTCCCTGTCTAAGGTATTTTAAAATATGCAAGTTGACACCCACTTCCGGTATAACTGGAAGGCGTCACTTAAAAAACAGTTCTGAAAAGTAGTGGGAATATTATTTGGTCCCATTTTTATGCTCTTCATTTTTGTTTCATAATAAGTTCTCCTTAGCTAAAGGCGATGGGAAAATTGTTGAAATTTTCTTTCAAAAATACATTGCCTAATAATTTGCTGCAAATGATCACAGAATATTTATGCACATTTAAACAAACTAACCAAAAATAACTATAACAAAAATACTTGGTTTTTCGTCTCGAATCTTCAAGAGGATTCTCTTACTTGGCAACCTTTGAAAAAATGAATGGAATGACCTAAACACTGGGCGATTAAAATTACTGTTGCTAGTTGTTTCACATTCATTTATTGGTTACATTATCTCCGGAGTGATGAAAATGATAAGAAACAGAACACAGAACAGTTCCAAAATTAGCCTATTCGGTACAAAAATAGCATGTCTCCATTTTCGTGATATTTCTGATTATTGCGAACACATCCAAATTGCGAAAGAACGAAATAAAATTATAACTCGACCAGACACTTTTCAAATTAAATTACGGCTCTTTACGCGTGTTGCTCAAATTGAAAAAATGAAACCGGAATCGGGGAATTTTCTAGAAAACCTCTACCGTTCCGATTCAGTTATTGGAGGACACCCTGTACAGTCGAAATTGATTAGCCAAATAAATAAACCGGCGCAGTTGTCGTTGCGGAGCAACTAAAAATCGACAGACATTAAATCATAATCTAAAAATAATTGCCTTCATTCAATATCGCGTTTTATCTTAACCCATTAATACAGGCGACTTGTAACTGTTGAGCTGTTCAATTGAATTAACTCGTGGCTGAAGAGAGGAACATTTGGCCGACCGGAGACGAAAAGACAATCGAAAGACATCGATCGCCCGGACCACCTAGGAAGAAGTGTTTCGATTTCGATATACCGATTTAATTCCCCAAACGGAATCTGTTAAGTGTAGGTCTTAAATGGATCTGTGACGAGTGGTTAAATAAATTTGTTTTAGTGATATACTGTGAGTTGATATGAAGAATAGGCTTCTGGTGTTCATATTTCTGTGTAAGTATTGGCGTCGCGATTGAATAATGTTTATCGAAACTTCGAAATTGATTTTTTGACATTAAAAAAAAATCTTAAGTGTTAGATTTTTAGATATTAGAAGTTTTTCTTAAGTTTGAATTGACGTCTTTTTTATTATTATTAACTAATGCTTTTTTAAGACCAAGGAGAGTACTGTTAAGAATTATGTCCAATGATCTAAGTTAATAATACAGGCTTCTTTTTTGACTAGGATCAAGATTTTTCAAATAAAGTACGCTCAGAAGAATTTTCTGATAATTTTTAAACAATCGAACTTATTTGAATGAAAATAGCAGAACTAATTAATTTTTTTCTATAAATGTGTTAATAATAGATTTCCTAATAAGCGTTATTTTGATTGTAATTAAATCTATCTACAAATCAAAAATATAGACCATGCCAATCGCGAAGAAAAAAACAAACTTTCAATAAGCAGCAATCGGAATTTTTAGGTGTTCTTGCAATGGCCCAGTGCGCACCTGGACCAAGAGGCAACCCCGCCTGCCTGATCCAGGAGTGCGACTTAGACTCTGGCCCCGTTTGTGGAATAGACGCTTCTGGTCTGCCTAGAACATTCGAGAATCGATGCATGGCTATGTTTGCCTATTGCCGCGATGGTTCGTGTAAGTATTTGTTTAAATATAATTGTTACATTATCTACCGTGTAAACAAGCAACAAACAAGGGTAGGGGTATCTATTGTATTCAGTTATTTACAAAATAGACAAAGCTTAAACTTGTGATTTCGGAATGCGCTTTGCGTGCTAGAAATAATAAAAAATGCTGAGCAATAACGAGTTAATTGAAAACGAAACAAAATATACATACACTATGATCCAAGAATAATTGACTTTGTAGAGATGACTTACTGTGTTTGGTTGCAATTGCAAATACCTGAAGGAGATATTGAAAATATTGTATTTTTTTAATAGATAGTCAAATAATTAAAATCTATTAGAAATTTCTACAGTATGGGTCTGTCGTAATAAACAATGACATAATTTTTTTCGTACAATAAGAAAAAAAAAAGTAACTGCGCAATTAGATTCTGTGTCCAAAAGTTCTAATAAAATTCGTTTTCACGTTTATGGCAACTGATTATATCTATATGTATTTCAACGTGCAATATTATCAATTTAGTTATATAACTTAAAAAAGTGTAGCAAAGCAAAACAGTGGAATTTTGCAATTTTCAACTATGGATCCGAAATGTATATACAAAAAAGTGTCCATGAAAATATCTATCATATGGAAAAGATTTTGTCGTCACTTTTTTAATAACTTAGATAAAAGTAAACTTTCAGATATCAGGTTATTTTTAGATACATTTTAAGTTTTCAGTGCCGATCCACTCGGTTTATGATTTTTGGTCAAAAATTTTCTTGTTGATACAATTCGACTGTTTAGCCATGAAATTACAATTCTGATCAACTTTGATGTCGTTTTCTGAATAATACTGCGGATTTGTAGACAAGTGTGTGTGTAGTGCTACTAAGCTATTTGTACAGTTGCTTTAAATTTATGGTTTCATTGTAATAATCTTAAAACCTTAATAATATAAAAAGTACAAAGAAACAACCAACGAATCTTGATAAATAATATATTTCATTTCAGATTTCGCTGAAGTGAGGCCCGGAGAATGTTGACCCATCGATAGTTTAGTTCATTTGGCTTTGGATACCTAATCTTATTTCAGCCAAATATACATAATTAAACAAATATACCAGTATTGTTTACTAAATGATTTTAGGTCATTTGCTTAGTATTGTAGAATATTGTATTATAAGTTATTTAAATCCCACAAAAACTGCATCGAATATCCCGTTTTTGTTAGTTATTTATGGTAATTATTTTAATACCGTTTGTAATCCGAAAATAAACGATTAGAATAGGACTGCATTTATGTTATGGCACGAATAAATTAGAAAAGTCGTTTTGTCTTTGATGAATGCGCCAGTTCTCCAGTTCTCTGAGTTTCGAGAAAAGCCAGCAATAAACTATTGCAGATTTCGTGTATACATTGAGTAGGTAAAGTGATTTGTGAAATCGAAAAAAACTCTTTTTGAAATTCAATTTGGCGTTTCAAGCTGCTACAATTTTTATCGGTCATTGTTCACATTGCATCTACCAATAATTTTGGTTTCTATAATTTTGTAAAGATATGTATAGTCTATGGTTTATAATTACTTTAACTTCTGAGAAATTTAGAGGCTAACATGCATCCGCCATTGTATAACAACCCAGCTGGTATTGTGAATTTTTGCTAAAAACAATAAGAATAAACAATAAATAAACATAATAAACAAGATGTTCCAGAATCTTATCACTTATCATTTTGTTAAATTTACAGAAATTAAGAAAAAGAAGTTTTGTCAAAAGAAAGTCTGTTTATTTAAAACTCACAATTTTACAATCTGTATGCACCTGTTTTTCATTATCTTATAGTATTGTTTGGGATATATTAAGAGAAAAAAAATCGATAATAGAATATAAATATAACAATATAACAAATAAAGCTAAGTAAATATGTTTAGAAGGCACTTACATATATTACATATATATGTATTTGTTGTAACCTAGTTACATTTTACAATATATGACAAGGCAGTAATATAATTCATTGGGAAAATACATAAATAACCATATCATATTTAAAACCGTGGACAGGCCCTGTTGAATTTGATTCTTAAATCTGCAACAGTAAATACATATGGATTTAAATTATTGCAGTAAAACTATTTAATTAATTAATAATCAACTCAAAACTGAACGGACATTGCCATTGGCTTTAATTAAGCACACGAAATAAATTATCCACCTAATTTTAATTTTTAATTTTGTCAAGAATTCAATGCAACAAAATTTAATTTTTTGGTGAGTTTATTAAATTACATGGGAACAGATAAATATTTTTTGAGAGATATCGATGGTTGTTTTGAAAACAAAATGTCAATTTGTTGCGAACCTTTGAAAAGAAATTCAATGAGAAAGAAGTCGAATAATACTATTTCGTAAAACTCAAATGGTGTGTATTTCAAATTAAAAATTTTTTTTCTATTTTAGAATGTCAATAACTAAAAGCCTATCATAAGCCGTTATTACTTTCGGTAGTTTTCGATCGTTGTTATTTCTGAATATTGTTTTAGTATTGCTTAATCAAAATTAATATTTCTCCCACAAGAATGACAATATGATTTTTGTTTTTGTAGACTGCTTCAAAATTGGTTTTTTGACATCTTTGGCTTATGTTCAAACTCAGTTCAAGAAAGCAAGACATCTACAAAGTGTTACAGAAAATAAAAAATGCTGAACTGTCTAAAGATAACACACTGGTATCGTAGCTGCCACCGAAAGAGATACTGAACCCTAAACTGTTAGAATAAAAAAAAATCCAAATTAACTATTTAAAAAAACCAAAAGTTGGTTAAAAAGTAAATTTATTCAAAGCAGGTAAGTCATAAATTATGTTACAGCATTAAAATTATTGGGTATCAAAACCCTCATCAAGACGTTCCCAAAATGCTCTAAATATCTAAAATAAAAAAAATGAATCTTTTGCAACTATTTTTAAAGACTTTTAGGATACATTATTTTAAAAAATAATTTTAATTTTTTAAAAAAAAATTGTCAAAAAATTGCTAGCTAGGAAATAACAGTTAGTTTCTTTTTTTTTTTAACTTAGGTTACAAAGGTAGATAGAGTTAAGAAAGTAGTTCCCACTAATGAAGGTTTTTAAAAACAATGTATATCCGCAATGTTTAAAGTTCTATTGGCAATTTACTCCATTTTCAGAACATATTTTAAAAACAGAATCGACTCGTTTTAAATTCTTCGTCTGTTCTTAATTTGTTTTAGAACTTGGGAGCTAAGACCAGACATGTTGGCTATTTAATCAATTATATATGTAATACTTACTCCTTCTACATCGTAAAGCGCACCTGAACCTCCCCATGTTAAAATAAGTGACGTCATTGTCCGCGCAGACTGGATTGTATTCATTAGTCGTAATACATTGGTCTTCGCATGGAGATCTCGTCGTGCCCATACCAGGTTGAGGTATGTCGGTGGTACCACTCGGATTTGGTGGTACTTCTCTATTTTGAAATGGGTCGACATTCCAATTTGAAGGATTTGGAATATTGGGATTGAAGATACTTCGAGTATTTGCGTTGTTTAAAACGGGACGGTTCGGCCTCACTTGGTCGTTAAATAAGTTATCGTTATCAAAAAATATTCCGTTGTTGGGTGCATCCCAGAATGCTAAAAGAGCCAAAATAAATAAATAAAAAAGACAAATTTATTACTGTATCTCAGCATACCTTGCCGCTTTCCTCTTTGGTTTTTGTGGCCATCATCAGGTATTTTAAGTTCGACGCTTTTGTCAAGTGGATTCGATGCTATGAATAGATGGCCAGCATGGAATAAAGAAACATCTGCAAGGACAGCGAAAAAGGTTTCATCTTGTGCAAATCAATGTTTTTCAGAGTAATAAATTTATACATGCATTATAAATATAAAGAAGGGATGAAATTAGTTTTAATGAAGATGTTAGTGACTTTATTCACAAACAAAGTAATTTTATACATACTTGTGGTATTTTTGACATTTCGAATTTGGACATCAAATTTGCGTGTTTGCTGTTAGTAATTTTGCGAGTTTGTTGTATTCGATAAATGTTAATTAAACAGATAGTTATTTTAAATGGTTTTGCCTATTTAATGTATGGCATAAGCAGTTAGGGACACTAAATGCCAATTTTTATATTAATTGAAACATCTCTTTCATTATCATTTTTCTTATCTGTATATTTTGTGTCCGCAGGAACTGCAAGTTACGGCAGTGCCCTTCTTTCATAAAAATATTTTTATATTTATATTTTTTCATAGTTTTTGCAATGTTGTTGCAAATTTCGACGGGACTAATTATTGACATCCATGACTATCTTTAAGCATAAATATGAATGGTTTAGAGACTTAGTTAAATTGCAAAAGCAGTGTAGTCTGTATTATATTTATATCATTGCATCACATAAGTTACTTAAAAGGAGAACTTAAGTGTCATTTTTAAACTTTGATTACCCAAAAATAATGGAAATTATTTGCATATGCTTGAATCAAATTTAATGTGGTTGGGGAATAGCTTTAAATAATATATCTTATCTTTAAAACATTTGGTGGGTGTAAAATTCAGGCTTATATCAACTAAAATAATTATTTTAGATTATATTTCTCTAATAGTATATTAGGCAACAAGATTGTTAATACAAACAGCATTCTCGTTGCGATTTTTATTTGGCACGAGCGGAGTGTAGTGAAGAAGTTATCAATAGGTTGCATACTATACTTTTTCGACGACCATTAGTTTTTGGGCAAATTTTTGCAAAACAACATGAATACATTCACTGAGCAATGTGTGATACCCCCCTCAAACATGAAAATACCATCTGTGGCAAAAATCCACCGGAAACATTCGAAGCTAATGTCTTAAAGTGATCGAATATTTTAGAGTAGGGAATAGAAAAAATGAAAACAAATTTAATTTGTTATTTATTTTTATTTTTCCACTCCGTAATTATAAAATTAGCAAGCATTTGCAATATCCTGCATCCGACTGGATTCCAGTCGGATGGAGGATTATATTTTTTTTTTGTTCTCTATATGACTGATTGCCACATTGCTTTGAGCTTCATCATCTTTTATTGCTCCCTTTACGGCGATCCATCGAAGTTGGGGTGATCCCAATAATTAACAGTTTGTATATATATATATATATATATATATATATATATATATATATATATATATATATATATATATATATATATATATATATATATATATATATATATATATATATATATATATATATACATATACATATATATATACAGTACTAAAGTACTGCAGTTATTTTTTCTCCCAAATTGAAAAAACTGACTTGCCTGGTTTCTTCCTTGACCCTTCATTACATTGTACCAAAGAAAAGTAGCACACTTGATGCATAAAGCCTAGTTCAGCCACAAACGAATTATAAGTGGTCATGGAAATTTAATTGCTCTTCAATTAATAATCGACTCAGCTTAATCGAACTAGACGAACGATATACACCAATATGCAACTTGAGAAACTTACACAAAATAAACAATATAACAATAACATTACCAGCGAGCGGTTGTTTTCGGCGATTCGCTGGCGTTCGACTATGAATACGAGTGTTTTAGTATCCTGATGAAGCCTGTATCCATGGGCGAAAGCTAGATATTACAATAAATTGCCACATTGCTTTGAGCTTCATCATCTTTTATTGCTCCCTTTACGGCGATCCATCGAAGTTGGGGTGATCCCAATAATTAACAGTTTGTTTGTATATATATATATATATATATATATATATATATATATATATATATATATATATATATATATATATATATATATATATATATATATATACAAACATGTATGTATATATATATATATATATATATATATATATATATATATATATATATATATATATATATATATATATATATATATATATATATATATATACATATACATATATATATACAGTACTAAAGTACTGCAGTTATTTTTTCTCCCAAATTGAAAAAACTGACTTGCCTGGTTTCTTCCTTGACCCTTCATTACATTGTACCAAAGAAAAGTAGCACACTTGATGCATAAAGCCTAGTTCAGCCACAAACGAATTATAAGTGGTCATGGAAATTTAATTGCTCTTCAATTAATAATCGACTCAGCTTAATCGAACTAGACGAACGATATACACCAATATGCAACTTGAGAAACTTACACAAAATAAACAATAACATATCCAAACGTTTCTTTGTTTAGCTTCGGCTCACGAACCCGGTCGTACTGAACGCGATGACTCTTCGTACCGCCCAAGGCGTCAAACATGTTTTCCTTAATGGCTTAATGAATTGAGAATTTGTACACCGCGGTTTTTAATTTGGGACGATCCAAATTCTATCGAATTGGCGACAAAGAAGCAGCGCGTGGGGATTATGGTTGGTTTTACCACCTATTCATTAATTCGCATGAGGAACAAGTCATAAACAAAGGATAATGCGACTTTGACTTAAAGATAAAAATAAGCGAAAATGATAATCTTTAGCGCCCCTTGCGAGTGTATGATCAGCGTCCTTTCAATTGTTACTGATTATGAGTTGTCTAACTAAATTCAGAATTTATTTGGTCCTACTTGTTATGGGCTATTTCGTTGTGGATTTCTTGGCATTAGCAAGATAGCTTACAATACAATCTCACCGAGTCTGAATTTCTTTTCAGTAACTCGATAAGCATTGGAAAGTAATGGTGAAGCTAAAATCCTAAATAATATAATTGTGTAGTTAGCAATTAATATCGAACATATTTTAGGGAATCTGTTGACTAACAACTATCATTAATGTTTAATGTGGAAGTTACAATATATACCGCAAAAGAAAACTCTATGTATAATCGTTGATTACATATTGATTGATCAATAAAAAAAAGAAAATTTTTTTACTTCAATCGGTGATTCCCAATATAATTTTATCATGATAATTTCGAGGACAGAATTTTTTGTATTGGCAGTCTTGAAAATGATCTGTTTTTTAAGTGAAACAATTATTTTAAATAACTTAACTTGGATGGTTCAATGCTATGGTTCGTTTGTTCTAATACGAGTGAATCACTTGTTATAACAAAGCAGAAAAAAGGAATATTATTTATATTGTATTATTATTAATTTATATATTATTAATATCCATTTTTTCTTAAGAAATTGTCGTAAAAAAACTAATTTAATAAATATGTTTATTTTTCATTTTTGGAATAACGATGATTATTAAATTTGAGGATATCCTGTGATTAGGTTAATGGTGGTTTAAAGAGGCTGAGTAACTTCAATAAATTCAATTTTAAAAATATTATTGTTGGTCTTAACTAACTAATTACGTTGTTTCTAACTTTTAATAAGAAATTAATAATATGACAATTATGTTCAAAATCCTGTAAAAGAAGATATTGTTTACCATCTTTGATAATTAAACATATAACGTCAAAATTAAGCTCTCTGTTACATTTAATAATATTGAAAGAAATTTAATGCCAAAATTAAAAAAAAAGCCTTCTTCATCTAGAACAATTTAGCCAATAGTTTATAGTATATTTTGCAACAAATGTGGTAAACGGAATTCTTGTCATATTGTATAATTATTTATCATTTACCTTTTTTTAAATAATAAACTTTAACGGTAGCAGCGTTATAGAAAAAATATGACATTTTTACATTTGGGTATTATTGAACTTGGATTATTTATACTGCAAAGAATTTCACACAACTTGTAAATTCTTCGTTCAGCCACTTCCAAATATGGGTGCATAATATAAGAAAAAAAAGTAAGGTCCCATAATTTTTCGACCCGTGTGTGGGTGTAACTATGCTATTCTATCGTTGCTAGCCTTGGTTTGTTAATAGTATTATATATAAAAAGTATAACAAACGCCACTTATGTCACGAGTTTGATTTTACAAGGGCGGAACAAGTTTTTAGTACACGGTTGTTAGATTAAGTTTATAAATCATATTTTTTCGACGATGATTAGTTTTCCAAGTTTGTTTTACGACAGTTAGTTTTTGTATACATTGTTGCAAAACAGTTCAGATACATTTTCGGACCAATGAGTGCTATGACTGTCAGAACTGATAAGCATCCATTTCTTGAAATCTACTGATTGGTGACTAAACTACCCGAAACCCTTGAATTGTTTGCCACTTTGTAGATAGCTACAGTGGGTATTTTAAAATAGGAGTTTTTGGAAGCAATATTTCACTATTTCGAACGAGACGATTGATGATTGACGATTGATTATTACCCTGCGAACCAATAATTACTAACAAACTGCAAGATTTAATAAGTAACGATTATAAAGATATAATGATTTTACGATAATTTACAAATTATGAACAAAGTATCATACAAATTAGATTTAAGGGCAGGCCCTATGGAGTCTCATTTCCAAATCTGCAACAGAAGAAAATAAATCACTTAAGAATTAAAAAAAAAAGTACGTAATAAAATCTATATATAAGGCGTATACTGAACTGGAGTTTGTTTTTTAATATGGGATGATATTTAGATTAAAATTTTATATTGTTTTCTTTTTATTTTAATGTTTTACGTAATTAAAGTATCAGCTTAAACTGTTTTGGACAATTATTTTAAAAAACTTGCAATTATTTTTTTTGTGGTTATCAAGCAAATAGAATTTGAACATTGGTTGTGATGTCAAACATTTTGCAATACTTACTTTTCGAGCATCGCTTAGCGCACATGAATCTCCCAATGTTCCAATACGTGACGTCGTCGCTTCCACAAACCGGATTGTACTCAGCAGTAGCGACGCAACTGCATGGAGTGGTCGAGCTAATAGCAGGTTGTCGTATGTCTGTGGTACTACTAGGGTTTGCTGATAGTTCGGCAATATATTGATCATTCCGATTGAAGATGCTTTGAGCATTGGCGTTGTTTGTAGTGGGACTTTCTAGCCTCACTTCGTCGTTGAACAAATTATCGTTGTCGAAAAATATAGCGTTAGCGGGTCCATTCCACAACCCTAAAAGTATAATATATATAATGAATCACAACAAATTTATTGGTGTAGTCTAGGATACCTTGTTTCCTTCTCTGGTCGTTCTGTGAATCATCAGATGAATTGGGGTCGACGCTTGTATCAATTGGATTGGAGTCTATCATTAAGTAGAAAGTGTGGAATAGAAATGCATCTGCAAAAGCGAGAGAAACATTCTTTTGAAAAAAGTATTGTAGCCATCGTCTACGGTAGGTTCCAGTTTGCAATTTATAGTTCATCATTTTAAACAAGTACGATGTTACCCCAATTCGTATGTTATGGAAACAGTCAAAACGAATTTATGACTTTTTCGAAAATTGAAAATTAATTAATGAGGAAATAATAAAAAGAATTAAGAGCGTATGTTTCTGTTTATTTTTCAGAGCAACCATGTCTGAAACATTTAAGAACATCTTTTTTTTATATTCATATTGGGTTATTTAAACATAAAAAACCCTAAAAAATCGCAAAATGCTGCTGCAAAGCTCTTATGTGATGTTTTATATGAATTTTTTTGGGAGTGCTGCTAAGAATATTACCTATTAATGCTAATTTATTACAAAACTTAGATAAAGAGTTCTACAATCGAATAATTAGTTTCAACGAGCATTAAAAAACGCAAGTACTCACTGTTCCGTCGAGCCAATTTGCATATCAGCGTAGTTGACCGACTTCGTTTTGAATTATAACTTAGTGAGTACAATTCGAATAGAACGCAAAAATTGACATTGAAATTGGTATTTCTATTGGTTTGTAATTCTTTTGTGGTTTGTCGAGGTTCTTCATTTCTTAAACTGGGTCGGTTTAAACTTTGGAGTCAAAGTTGCTGCATCTTGCAAGGTACGCTTGTTAATCTAAATTTCTTAATCTTATACGTTTAACTCAGGCTATTTTTCTAATTTTCTAATAATAGCACAAGGCGCGCGAAGCAATTTTAAGTACTTACACATCATCAACAATAACATTGTAGAATGTTTCTATTTTAACTTCGACTCGCACGAACCTAGTCGGACTCACAGACAAAAATATTATACCGAATATCGTACTGATTCTAATGATGTTTTTGCAGAAAATTCTAGCAGCTTTTCCTAATGCGCGTGCGCTTATAAATCAAACATTTGCATCAGACATTATTGTGAGTGTCTCGTAAAAAATGTTTTATCATCGCTAAATTAGACATCTAATGGAGCATATAAAAATATTTCCTAAATTTTGTAAAACACAACCAACCATTTGTAAATAATCCAAAATGGTCAAGGCAAGATCTACTAAAGGTATCAACTTCTGACTAGCTTCTGAAAAAAGATCCCAAAATAGTTTCAGCAGGTTTGGAACTGAATACCAATTTTACCTTTAAAAAGATCCCACGAGAAATGAGAGGATTTGTTTGCTATTAGATAGGCAGATGGATTTAGTTATATCTCGGGAACCACAGTATATTTTAGAAATTACATATCACCAACCCTTTTTGATTTAATTGAATAACCAATAACACGCTACCCAGTCAGTGTACAGCGTTGTCTAAAATATTCCTTACAGTCTTCACTGAAAAAATGTGCGAATCCTTTGCAGAATCTGACGTGGTGGGGCTACTATAAGAGGTCCGTATTGACCATGACTTTGAATAAACCCACATTATTGCGTAAACTGGTCTAAGGACCAAAAACGGTGGAGACTATGGCTATAAAAATCTACACAATTTGCCTTCTAATTTTCCATTTCGGGTTATGTGGTGCCGTGTTCGAAAATAACCCGTTTCTAAATAAGGGTAAGTTGTTTTTGATGATTTCCAATTGTCGTTTTTGTAAAATTTAATTGCCCGAAAATTGCTGCATTTATTGAATATTGTCCAGTGGTATTTTTTCAAGCAGCTAATACCCTTTTTTTCGCATTAATTAAGTTAACTCTTGATTAATTTCAAGTAAATCCCGAAAACTATTGTATCTCAAAAGAAATCTTGCTCATAAATAATTTATTAAAAATCCTAAACTGAATAGTTGCCTAGCCCTATAAGAATAAGACCTATGGTTATGGGAACACATTTACTTAAGATCTCTACCTTTTAACTACCTAAACTAGGGAATCAAATTGATTAAAAATAAGCAATACCAAATAATCAAATATCTCATGCCTAATGGCTTCCTCAGACACTCGTTTATTAAACAATCGCTCCGCAGCGCTCTACTTGTGCCAAACAAACTCGTGACTAAAGTGTTTGTGAAACTGATTGAGTAATGTATTATCACCCGCCTGTCACCGCTTATAATATGTTTTTGGAAAAAAAAAATAAATCAATTAAATTGGTGAGGAATATTATAAATAATAAAATTTAGTGATAGTTTCTAAAAAAAAAACTAGAATTGAATCTGAGTACGATAAAACTGGATTTTAATACAAAAACTTACGCTATTTTATTCGAGTTTTTGTAATATATATTATTATTTAAGCTAAAGGTAAATATTAATTATTTACTAAAATTCACATTAAAATCTTTTTTTATTCTATCCTTAAAATTATTTTTTTTTTCAGAAGTACTTTATCTTAATTTCCTACTTCATTTTAAAATATTTATGATGTTTTCTGATCAAATTTAATACAATATATTTTTTTCTGTATTAAGTCTTTATGAAATTATTAATATTATTCTCTACATATAACCTACATATATATCTTCACCTTAACCTTTTATGAGTCAAAGATAGTTAAAATAAAATGCAGGTTAGTCAATTTACATTTTAAAAGTTGGTTCCTGGTTATAGAAAATTCAGTACCGAAAATACCTAATATAAAATTTCATTTAAAAACAAAACCACTTTCTATAAAACTTTTTTTCGTAAATGAAATATATTTCGAGATAAGAGTATAGAGCAAACGGGACACTTAATACAATGATTCAATTATGAAAAGACCAGTACACAATATTTTTGACTAGCTAGAATCAAACCCAGACTTTTGCAAGTGTCTACGAACGGAAAGGTTCAGGCTGGTTTACCAGATCAATGCGGAAAATTATTCTACTGTTTTGGGTCCCTCACTCACTTTTCTATTATTTTTATTAAATTTTGCAAGGACAGTGTGTACAAAGTACTGATAATCCTCATTTAAAACAATTCATATTGAGGTGGATATATTAGAACAATTTTAATTTTGTAGATCCTTTGTATCCGACAAGTTATTCCATCCCCGCAATAAATTTACAGATATGTATGCAAGAAAGAATGTACGTTGGGTTCCACTTGGCAAATTCTCGACGGCAATAACATAAATTGCGTAAAATGCGACCATCTAGTCTTGTTGCCAGACACGTATGCTCCGTACCATCCGGCTATAAATATTTGTAAGAACGTGTTTCAAAACGTGGAACATGAGCTAGCAATTTCGATTTTTTAGTTTTCAATGCTCTCGCTCTGGAAGAAATATCTTCACATACTTTATGTGAAGAAGATGATATACGTGGCGTCATATATGAATGGGTTCAGAACTTTTAATTGTTTCCATTTGCATTTGCTCGGACGTTGTTATTTAGAAAAGTTGGTGGAAATATGTAGATGGTCCAAGAATTCATTCTGTACACTCTAGTTCTTTAAAATTACAAATATTAAGGGAATTTTTATAGTATCCAGTAGATGTATACATACATATGTATACATATATATATATATATATATATATATATATATATATATATATATATATATATATATATATATATATATATATATATATATATATATATATATATATATATATATATATATTTCCAATTTAAGGAGCAACAATATTCTATTGAAAAACTGAAAAATTATACTCTAACTTGAAGGAAACAAACTGAGAAATTGCAATTTTGATTTTTGTTGGAATCGAAAAATTGGAAAAGTACTCTTACTAACTATAGCCGCCTTTGAATTTTCCTGTTATGTAGAACCTGTTAATTTTGTAAAAATGGGTAGATATCATGATTAAAATACAATAAAATACAGAAGTATTTGAATGGAAAAGGTTTCAAGCAAAAGGCAAAAACTCAATTCGCCTACTAGTCTTGTATAGAGGAATTCCTAGAAAATTTTGAATGAGTTCCCGAGATAACTACTACTGGATAGGTGTTTTCAAGTTAGAGTCAAATGATAAAATTTCATGAATTAAATATGGCTGAAAATTAAACCTGTTATAACTATAGGTGCATCTGAAATTCAATATTCTGGCTCTTTTGTAATGAAAATGCAACTGCAGCTTAGTTTAGGAAAGAAGAGAATGCCGCTAGATAACAATACAAATTATGAATTTGTAAATCAGAGAAAGGGTCACTTTAGAATTTAAATAGCATTCAGTAAAAGCAACCCAACGGAAAATCCTGACACAGAGGTCGAGCAAAAAAATAAAAAGACTAGAAATTGTCTCAGCTTTAAAACAGTACTTTACATTTTAAACATGGTGGATATTTCGGACACTATGAAACAATTTCCAAAAATTTTCTCTTGGCCGATTTAATTATTTATTTTTAAAACTTCATTAACGCCGCACCTCGTTGCCCTTACTGCTACACTAAATTCGGCAATTTCCTTTTTTCTTGGCAGTTGTAATAGTTACGTAAATCAATTAATGCGATCAATGTAAAGAAATGAAGCGGAGTCAGCGCAAAGGGTTACTGACCAATCTCACCTAACGAACTTGTAGTGTGTAGGCAAATACGTAGATTAAATCTTTAGTGGTTGCAATATTTTTTAATAGGGATGCCTTTTTCGGAGTGCTCGTTTGACGAAGATCTTTATAAATTTCACCATTTAGTGGGATTTTATATTGCCGCGTGGGCCACTGACCAGCGACACGGAACCCACGAACGAGAATTGTGATCAATGAAAACCTCTTAAATTATTTAAGAGTACAAAAACAATGCTGACATGAGTAAGCTCTTACAACCGAATAGGTATTCATAAAGTTCAGTAACATTCCTTGGTGCAACTGTCGTTCTTATCTCCCTTGCATGCGGGGATAATAAATGGTCATACCGGGAGTAAAATGTACCTGCTGTAAAACTTATAAAGCAGGAAGATTTAGTTGACAGTGCGACACCATCGTGATTTTCTCGAAATAGATGTCACTTAGCTTATTTCATTAAAAAAAAAAAATTGTTCTGAAGTATACCAACATTTTAAAATCAATCTAATAAAAACTAAAATTTTCGATTAAAATTAATTAAAATTGTTTTAATTAAGTAATTAATTAGTTAATTAAAACTAATTGATAAACAAAAAAAATGGATGAATTAATTGTTATGAGTAGTCCAAATAGTGACTTTTTTAGATATTTAAATCCCAATCGAGTAATCTTTTATAGAACTTATAGTTTGATTCCAATTTATGTATAAAGATTTTTTTTTTCATAGAATCTTAACCACCAAAACTTTTAACGTTTTATAAACACGTGCAATAGAAACTTAATATTTAAATAGTCGTATGAGCTCGATGCTGTCCTCAAAGGGTCATATATGGCCCATATGGATGTATATCATCACATATTTTTGCATTCCCTGGATTCTGGTGATTTTGGAAATCAAGTTTCCTTAATCCGCGGGAGTATGTTGGTATATCTATAAAGGGATTTGTATATAGTCAGTTTTCTCGAAGCTACTTAAAAAATTAATTGATGGAATCATTATAGTTGCTGAAAGTGGTAGGTCGACTATTATTATAGTCAGTTGGAGGCCTTTTAGATGAATCATGATATCTGTTTAATTATGAGGCTAGGAATTCTTTGGATATTAGAGTTTAATTTTTTTAAATAAATAATTGAATTGAAGGTGTTCTTCGACTATCCCATTGTGGTCATTGTTTTTTTCCTTTTTCATTAACGATATTGGCAGTGCTTTTTGAAATATATTTTCCTTCTTTTGATATCGTTTTAATGCAGATTGATTTAGGCTGTGTTATGTGAACGAAGAAAATGGCTAACAGTAAATTGGGCAAAGAAAAGTGTCTTTTAATATCGTTCCTTAGATCACATAGTAGTCAAGGTAATGTGACCCAATCAATGATTAAAGAGTTAGATGTAATACTTCATAGCTGCTAGCTAGTATTTAGAAACGAGATTTATAGATGGAATTCGAAGCTTGGGGTTTGTTAGAAATAGTTGTAATCTTCCATCTACCAGTAATCTACCATCAGTTTTCTGAGAAAGTTTTGCTGACCATAACGTTTCTATTTATTATAGACCTCTACATGGAATTTAGGATATATAATGAGACTACACGATTATCGGATTCTCCTTGTTAGTTTTACATGGAATTTGGGATATATACTGAGTCTATAGGATCATCGGATTCTCCTTAACACCGCAAGAAGAACTCGCTGTTCTCCTCTGTTTAATGTTGAGTTTAGTTGCTCCAACTATAGCTTCCATGACTCTCTGCAGAAAATTTTGCACTGTTTAGTACTTATGAATTTGATTCAATTGTTGTAGACTGGTTGACTGGCCCAGTGTAATATATCATCGTACTTTCATCTGTTCTATTTTAATGTGCCTTTGTATCTGTCGTCATCTTATACGTTTATTTATATACTAAGTTTTTATTGGCCGCTATTGTAAATAGTGATTTCTCAAATAAATAAGCAATAATTTTATGAACATAAATATGAAGTATTTTCAATTTATTTTGATAGCAGTTTGATTTTCTCAAATTTTTGTTTGTAAAATAAAAAAAATCATGATTAGTTGAAAAATGTTTTCTATGCACAACAATTTTCTGATTATAAGCTTCATATATTTCAAAATAATACACCTTTCATAATATTTACGAATCCAATAGGATGCAATAATATCCAAGAAAAACATTATTTTGATAAAAACCATTCCAAATCTTTGGTTTTTAGGTCTCTTTTGGATATTACATCCAAATTTTCCTCTTTAAAACATTTCCATTTAAAACGTGCCAAATATTTGGAGAATAATTTTCTGAGACTTATGCAACAAAAAACAACTATGTTACAACACTTCTTTCTTCAAGGGAATTACACAGTTAATTCAAATGATGACTCCACCGGATCAATACAGACGCCTGGCCCAACAAGGCCGAGTTCCGTATGGGTGCAAGTACCAGTTTCGCAGATGTCATCAATTGGTAACAGATATCTATTAACATTAGATAATATTTAAGGGAAAGCGCATATGTTTCTGTTTTATAGCTACATCAACCTCGAAGCCCAATTCTGAACCAACCAAGCCTTCTTTCCCAAGTTCTAGCTCCAAGGAGCCAGTGTTCACCATAGAACCTCCAGAAATTTTATACGGTAAGTTTAACTTAGCATTGTCAATGCTTCTTCTGTCAAGTAATCAAACTTAACATTTTTTAGGAAGCCAATACCTCAACAAAAAATGTCTCAAGCCTAGAGGTCAATTTCCGAGTTATTCCTGCAATAAGTTTGTTAACTGCTGGGATGGAATCGCCAGCGAACAAACTTGTCCGACTGATTTGGTATTTAACCCAGTTAAGGGTTATTGTGATTATCTGTCGAATACCGATTGTGGTAAGAAATCGATAGAAAGTAAGTTACAATTTTTTCAGTACCTTTGAAAATAACCAGTTTTGTTTTTAAGACTCCCCTGAACAAAGCAATGTTTTACCCCCCACCACCGTGACACAAGCGCCTATTGTAACTTCGAGTAAGTAATTTTATGACAAATTTATTGTCAACAAAAATTTCAAGAAATACCTAGTTAGCACAAAACAAAATTTTGAAGAATATTTTGCAACATTCTTATGAATGCTGGAAACTAAGAGGCAACAATATGCACTTTATGCCGTGTACACCCGTATATATATATATATATATATATATATATATATATATATATATATATATATATATATATATATATATATATATATATATATATATATATATATATATATATATATATATATGTTAAATTTGCTGCCGCTCAGCATGAGGGAAGGAACATTAAAAAATATACATACACAAAGTACTTTTGTTTTGGATTGTCAAGCGTTATTATGTCTGTGATTGTCAAAATTTCAATTGTAAACTATTTACTAGTTATGCTTTCTTCCATTTGTATTTTATCTATTATATTTTACTGCATTTTTATCATCAAATTAATAATTATAACACTGTGAAACGATGTCGTACATTTTTAAGTGTGAAAAGGAAAATAAGCGATATTGAAATATCATATTAACACTTACTACCTTAACTTTTCATGTTTATCTATATAAAATTTGACCCATTTTATTCTGCTTATAGCAAATTCCGACCTAAAACGATTTTGTCGAACCGCAAGAGGCCTTTTCCCAGGAAGGACTTGTGACAAATACGTCAGTTGTTGGGACGACAACGTTATCGAAGGACAGTGTCCAGACGGCACGCTTTTCTCAAGCAAGGGATATTGCGATTTTGCGCAAAATGTAGAATGCATTTCATACGACGCCGACTCGGTTGGTCAGGCGACTTTGTCTGCTAATAATACAGAAATAAAAGACAACAAAACCGCCATTAATGTTTGTAGGTTCACTGCAATTCCAATACATATTTGAAGAATTCAACCGACGTTATTTTTTCAGCAAACTCAGAATTACAAAAGCTATGTAAGCAATCGAAGGGTCTATTCCGAGGCACATCCTGCAACAGATATGTCAATTGCTGGGACGGAAATGTCGTCGAAGGACAGTGTCCCGAGGGAACGTTGTTCTCTACCAAGGGATATTGCGATTTCGCCCATAATGTAGATTGTGAATCTCATGATAAAACAAAATTAGAACAGCATTGTCCTAGCGAATTTGGAACATTTAGAAGTAAATCCAATTGCAGCAACTATTACATATGTGCTTATCATAAAATAGTAGCCAGATACGAATGTCCTGAAGGCTTTCATTTCAGTGATGTAAGTGCGACTTGTTATATTCCTAGTAAGGATGAATAATATTTTTGTAATTGTAGATATTGGGTGTTTGCGACTACGCCAGTCGAGTAGATTGCTCTCAAAATTCCAATGTGAATAAAAAAATCGGTATCGGTGAGTATACAGCAATGCCTAACGCCTTCGCCAGATATAAAAATCTAAAACATTTTTGTTTAATGAACAATATCATTGGTTACCATTTAATTCTCTTGGTTTATGTTTTATGTTTATGTTTATATACCGATTTTTGTTAGTAAATTATAATTTTGAATATATTTTATATATAAATAAATTTAGTATTTTTTTCATAATTCTTGCTATAAATATTTGTGTGTTAGGCCCATTTATTATGGAATGATAACTTATATCAGACCCTATTAAAAATATCAAAATACCTTAAACGCAACAATAGCAATTTAATTATTTTAAATAATATAATATATATACACCAAGATATCTCCTAGTAAAATTCTAAACTATGTTTATCATACATTTAACTTATATTTTAGCCTTAGCGTTTCTAATAAATTTTGTCAAAAATAACATTTACAACTTCTTTTTTGTATATTTAGGATCGATTTCCTTATAAGAGATGTACTTTATTGGTCTGTGGCGATATTTTAAAAGTAAAGAAATGAAAAGTTATCCAAACTTGAACTGAAACTTTTTAAAAACAATTTTTTTCAAATCGACACTGCCCATGTTTAGAATTTTATGGTATATAGTATATAAATTAAAGTAATTTTGGTTGCCTATTTAAAGAATTAATATATTTCAAAGTAACATTAACAATAAACAAAATTACTAATAATAATAAAAATTACAAAGTTAGGTGGCATAGCTAATAGTACTACTTTTTTGAAATAGTAAAACTTCTTATTTAAATCCCAAATACAAAATACAAAATTGAGAGTTTCTATCTAAAAAAATGATTTTTAATTTTTAAGTTGTTAATTACTTAGGTACAAGATTTTATATATGAAATATGTCTGGAACTTTTTGTGAAATTCAACAATTCCTCAATACATACGTACGTTGCTCCTTGTCCACGAAAATACATACATCCTTTATATGCAATAATAAAAAAGTTTAAACTTTAAATAAATCCAAACAACATTTGTGTTGAAGATTTTAGATATTTTTTACAGTTTCTGAGTTGAAGTGTCATCCCGTGATAAAAAATCATGAAAAAACTAAGTATTTTATTAATCTTATCTAATAGATTTTCTCTTTCAGCAAATGAGAACTGTCCAATCACAAATGGTGCGTATAGAGATAGTCAAAACTGTGCGTCATATTATGTCTGCTCCCTTGGGAAAATTGTAGCAAATTATCTATGTCCGCCCGGATTTAACTTTAACAACGTAAGAGAAAAATTACTGTTACTCTAACTATTGGGGAGCTTCAATTTTTTCGAATGTATGCAGGTTGTCAGACTTAATTATAGTTTTGGATTTTTCTATAGAAAATAATTCCATTTATAAGAATAATGATTAATTTTATAAGCAAACACACCCTTATGACGATAAAAAATATATTCCGCAGGATCGTGGGACATGCGATTATGCAGAAAGGGTCAACTGTAACCAAGGGTCTATCATGGTCAATATTGGAACCAGTTCGATATTGCCAGAAATTCCTCAAGGTAATCAAATAAATAGCACGTAATAAAAGTCATTTGAAAATTTAAAATAACAAATATTATATATAAATTAGAATAAAATATTTAGAATTTTGCCTTATTTCGAGGAAAGATTTACCACAATTACAGAATAGATTAGTGACTCGTAAATAATTGCAAGTAAATTAAAATATGTGAAAATTATATTGTTCCAAATTGTCGTTGTAGAAATTTTTGAAATTAATTTTTAAGGTCAAGAAATTGAAGCGCACCGTTATGTTTTAGAAATTATGAACAAAGTTCGAAGTTGTACTCCCGGCTCAATCTTTCCTTTAAACTCTCACTGCACTTCAGCCTGCATTTGCCGAAGTGGACTCGCCGAAATAGTACAATGTTCTGCGGGACTTGCATATGATTCCAAACTCAATAAATGTGTTCCAATTCAATTGGCTGGGTGGTAAGTCAAACCAGAGTTCTTATTTGCCAATTTCAAAATTACTAATTCGTTAATTGAAATATTTTACGATATCATTAATTCAGTATACCACAATACATTCAATTTTTACTTAAACAATTTGATATCAATCTGCTAGATTAAATAAAAACAACATAAAATTCTTATGTAACGCTGTTAAGTGAAATAGGTTGCATACCTCGTCGATAAGTATAAATGCTTTATGGAAATATTGACAGTCCATCAGAACAGGAACCTTTTCATAATGTTTCTGTATTGTTACAATAAAGTTAAAAATATTAACCTTTTTCTATTTTAGTTAAATGGAGAATGCAGCGATAAAGACTGAAATGATAGACTTAAATGTAAGAATTTAGATTAATATGAAATTAAGAATTACAATCTTTGTATTACCTTTAAAAAATATATTATCCAGAATAATTGTCTTTTTATTTATATTTCCTAAAATGCTACTAGCAAATTATAGTTTCATTGGACGGGCTTTTCAAGTCTCAGTTGTGTTTCATATTAAACAGGTTGTCCCAAAAATTGATAATGGTGTGAAAGTGAAGTTTTTTTTTTAAATTAGGCTCCTCCCCTATTATATATAATTTTGCTATTTCAAATGTAAAATATATGTCATGAAATAAGTTCGTTCATGCGATACTTAGGAACATCCTATATAGAACTAGCCAAGAACGATAGGCAAAATTTGCCAGTACTAATGCTCATTATTAATTATTTTAGACTGGAGACCATCTTCATCTTAATGTGAGCAACAATTGGATATAATAAATTTTTTCTTTAGGAAACATCAAACAAAACCTATTATTCTGTGTAGAACATATTAGAATCTTGGAAGAGATAGAACTTTAAACTTAGAGAGTAAGTATAAAATTAGTTATAAGGCCATCGAAGTGCTAAATTTACTCTTCTCTGCATGTGTTATTTCATAGTATGTCGGTGTGATTTGGGGAAGTATATTGAAATTAAAAAAATTCAGATCTTAAATTTTAGGTATAATCGTAATTTCGTTATATGTCACATAAAGTTCGTTTGTTATGTGCTACTACATTTATATTACTATTAGAATAATTACATTAATAATAATAATAAGTGCTTTTAGTTTTTGCAAAAATACTTTTACAATAAATTCATAAGGGTGGCAATATTATTGTACCAACGTACAAAGCATGTTCTATTACAGTATTATCTACCTAGTTTAACTAGTCACATGAAAAGAACATAATTTTTAAGAGTTTTCTTAAATACCTCTGAACTGTATAAAGATTTAATACAGCTCAGGACCTGGTTATAAATTTTAAGGCTATTGCAACAAAAGAATTTCTGAAAAAGGGCTGATAGGTTATGAATAAAGGTAGGATAATTTAAAAATAAAAGCCGACATTAAACGTGATATAGTTTTTAAGATTTAACCATCGCGAATCATTCATGTTATTTCGCTAGGCCTTAAGAAAACCAAATTCACTCAGACGTTGCTCGTAATTAAGTATACATACTGTGTAGTTAGCAAACTTAACTTTTAATGGCGGAGTTTGTATTTTAATAAATATTTTTTCTATGTTTACTGTTTTGTTTTTAATTTTTAATGATCATCAAGTTGAAATACCTTATGATAAATAAAGAAAAGTGTCTACCTATTTCACTTTTTAATTTTAAATTTTCTAAAATGTTTGTAATAAGAAAATTATAAATTACTTATCCACAGCTAATTCTAAATTGTCGGAATGCTGGACTGACTTGGTTTAGTTGAGGGAGAACTACTGCAATCGACTACCACAAAGCGACCCATAAAAATGTTTCATACTCGAGGGCATCTTCTACATTTGTTAGTATTCTTGTAATGCTTATTCTTTATGGATGTTAGTTATCACATTACTTCAGATAACTTTGTTGACTGCTGCTCAGAATAGGGTATTACAGATCATTGCAGTCCATTTTTGTTAGGTTCTTAAACCATGAAGTTCTCCAACTCATCTGGCATCTAAACTAGTTGTAGTAGATAGTATTTTCCGTTTCTCGTCACATGTCCAAACTATCCCAATTTTCTAGTTTTAACGGTGTTGAAAACTTCCATTTATTTTTTATCGCCGTATACCGCAATCATGTGTCACGTGAAGCATGCATGATATTGTGAGCAGGGGTCGGTAGCACCATATCTCCAAGGCTTCTAAACGTTTGCATGTAGCTTCCGTAAGAGTCCATGCTTCTGTACCATATAACAATACCGAAAATATGTAACACCGGAGGATATGCATTCGAGTTTGAACGCATTTTATATAGCACCTTCCGTATGCGAGTGAATCTACTTCTGGCTTTCTTCATCCTACATTTTATTTCCTGTGAGTGATCTCGGTTTTGATTGAGATTTCACCTAAGAGATATGTTTCGTTTGCTCTAGGTGTGTATTATTAACATAAAACTGAGTGTTATTTATATTCTTTAATTATTTTGATGACACGATTTATTAGTTTTTAAATGCCTTTAGCTATGTCAGTCAACGGCACTGTGTCGTCCGGATGTCGAAGTGTGATTTTGAATAGTTCTTCCGAATAGCTGTAGCGACAATTTGTATGTATGTAGTGACATATCACTACTCCTTTTTTATCCCAAAGTTCTATATCGTTCAAATCTTTTGCCCTTTGAATCAGGAACTGATTGCTAAAAGGCCTTTCACTTGTACCGAAACCAGTTCTGAAACCAAACTGAGTTTCAAAAATATTTCGCTGTAGTTTTTGTTATGGACCGTCAATTATTTTATGCAAATAACAAAATTTTAAGATACTTTGGGGTAAGCCATTCCTAGAGTTTCTTTAGAATATTTTAAGAATTCTTCTGTTGCACCACAAATATTTCGTTACCCTCGGTATAACCTAAATTTATATAATCATTCTGATATAGGTTGGGAATATATTTAATTGTCCAATAAATATGCTCCATTTGCATTTTCTATAAATAATTTTGAAAAAATCATTGTCAATGATTGTGTTGGCATGTTTGCATAAGTAATTTCTATAGCGAAGAAATTAATTGAATGATTATAAGTCATTTCTAGTTGGAAATGCTCCTTAATATACTTCAAATCAAACTACATTCTAAATAATCTTAACTTTATCATTATGGTATTGTGAGAAAAAATCGGTAAATGGTATATTTTTTTTAGTTTTGGTTGTTTTGATTTACTAACATAGCAACCCATTCTCATATTTGCTGTACAAACTAAGCTGATGCTAATGAGTTTTTCGACCATCTATAATAATTCTTTTGGATATCTCATAAATACAAAAGATATTCAGTGAAAGTGTCAAATTACAAATACATGGAGGAGATAACTTTCACTCTCAATTTTGTCATTTGTATGTGTGCGGATACATTAAGATTTTACATGACGTAAATATAAATGGGTAATGATTATCTTTTTAAGTTAAAAAAAACCATTGTTAGCACCTTAACCCTTGATTGCAACTAATATGAAAAAAGAAAGTTAAGTGAAAAATATTTTAGACTGATTAACACAACTCATGGGTTATAAAAACAAAGGAAATATTTAAAATTTATATGGAGTTTCTCCTACAACGCTTCCACCCCACCCACTTCATTTAAAACCCTCGGACAAAGTAGAAATTGAGTTTTAAAAAAATGAATACTAACAGATCCGATAATGAATTCTGTAAACCCAAGTACATGATTTCAATTTTATTTGCCACAACTTCATCGCAAAGGTGCAATTAAAAGAAGGCGTTTATTTCTGCATCACAATTAAATTTTTAATGTTGCAGTCATGTCACAGTTACTCAGTACAGTTATGTGATTGTTAAGTTTTATTCCGATGACAAACAATTTTTATGCGGCTAAGTTAATATAAAGCATTCTTCACTTCTATTCTAATAAATAGTAAGCTCAACTGAAATTGTTTTTTTTTATTTTATAAGTTTGTGTTACGAGTTCCGTCATTATTGCCGCAGAATAAAAGAGAGTGTCATCATTAAATGAAATGATTGTCTTGAAAAGTGAACTGAATAACGAGTTTTGCAAAATTTAGTGCTTTTGTTTTCAATGTGTTTCCAACCGAGGTTACTCACAAAAATCATGATAGCAAAACTCATGCGACAAGGAATAACTCTTATTTCTACAATATTGTAAAAATTTACTCAGTATAACTTATTACATTACAAAATAATTCATTTAAAAGGTTGATAGAACATTAATTAGACGCAAATTTCAATTCTTGCAGTTAATAATAATTCCATGATAACTTTCATTTCAAAATATTTTCAGGATCAAACTACACATTAACATATAAATATATATACATATATTGGTATATAATTTATTCCGGGATATCATCCGTTCGTTTGTTGAACTCCGACTGGATGTTTCGAAAATGACATCTTCAATGCTCGCGCTCCTAAAATGTAGTAATTAACTTTTTTTGGAGTTTAAAAACCCGTGGCTGGAATTTTCCCATAGTTTTAGTTAGTTAAATTAGTTAGTCAGTGGTTAGTCATTTGACAATACATAAAAAAGGCATTGCAAAATAGTGTATGATGATGTAAAACTGAATCTAAGTAAAATTCTTAATATAATAAAATCTGGAAATGTATTGGACAATGTTATAGTGTACCACTGTTACAGTTCAGCCGGACAATTAACCGACAAAACATCAATATACCTAAATATATATTGGATGTTGCAATATTTATGACACACAAGTTTTATGACATTTTTATTATATCCATCATATCATATCATATATATTCACTATTGTTTCAAAGAAATATTGGTTGACTGATCTACATTTAAATTCATACTCGAAGCGATGATTGATTATATTATTTGCAGTTTGATGATCGCTTCGAAGAAGGTAATTTTTTTTGTCTATATTGGTTTAATTTAAGTGGACTACAAATGTTTTCATTTCTCCTCTTGTCTTACAATGCAATTCTGAATTTATTCTAATAATATCAAAAAAAAAATTGCATCAAAAATTAAAAGCAAACCTTAACACAGCAAATTTGCCCAAGTTGAAGTTATTTTCTTCATTTCTGTTTATTAAAATAATAAATTTAAAAAAAAGGAATTAGCAACGGAACTGAAAATTGCGAATTCAAAATATTGCTTTCTTAAGTTTAATGGGAGATGAATTGCAGTTGGTAATTAGTTTTAAGAATCACGTCAGTTTCGAAAATTAGCATGTAGCGTTTGTAAATTTTACGGATTTCCATACTGTGCTCACCGTGGCACCAAGAGGCTTGCGTTATATAACAAATTGTAATTCAGTGAGCACTTTTATGCATGATATCCTGACGCGACGGTTCAAACGGCACGTGACTTCCATGTGGGAAAAATAACGGAAAGGATTAGGGTCTCACGCTCGTTGCGTCTGCTTCCAAAAATCGTACAGGATGTGTAAAT